AGTAAAATTGCCAAAAAACTGAACATAGATTTGTGCCAATTTTTTTCTCATCGAAAGGAAGCACTGTACTTATTATAATCATGAAATAAAAAATGGGGGTCACCGTACTCGTTTTTGCGGTAGAGCTGCAGAAAGTGCGCACCAAACGCATTTTCTCCGATTTTTGAGAGAGGACTGGGGCGAGTTTCAAAATAGAATGTATGTGAAAGGGGGAAGAAAGTGTTAAAAAATCCGTTTTTACAGAATTTACATCGAGATATCACATTTAGGACACAATTTGATACAGAAAGTGTTTAAATGAAAATCAAAGTGAGTAAGCACAAGTTAAACATCCACTATCGAGGTTCTCCGAGAGGAGGTCAAACTCAGCAACACGCGTACTGCTTACGTTATGCAGATTCCCAACACATTGAGTCTCACCTCGGCAAGAAACAACAGCAAGCAAAAATTCCAGTAGCGTTTCTCATCAGTCAACTTCATTTTAATAATATTACTTCACATGCTCTTTTTTACGGCGGCCATCTTGTTATGCGCAGTAAGAGATGCGCAGTGCAAAACTAGGGAATCACCTTAAAAAGTCCAGCGAACTCCTATAGAGTCCGGGATCTCAAGAATGAAGCGTAAAAAACCTGCACATACCTGCCGAAAAATTGAAGAATAGGAAATCCTTTACTCATAAATACATTAAAAATGAGTCAATCTGATCTTTTGTAGCGTATATATGCATTACGTTCATTACTTTAGGTGAAAAAAAGACTTTAGAGCTCGTTAGTGGTCCGCCATCTTGTTTGTTATGATGGTGTACATCCGGTCAAGATGCATCATGGGATTAGTCGTTGAGTTCAGTCCTCCTCGACGTGCGGTTCTTACATCGCACAAATCTCTATAAATGGGGCAAAAAAAAAAATGCGCATGTCAGAACTCTTGCTCTCAAGGTGTGAAGTTCCGCGTGCAGAGTCTCATCAATTGAGCCCGTCTTGACTGAAAGGGCTTCGAATGCATCTTTGGCGAGATTAACGTACTGATCAAACATGTTTTGATCCAGCTCTGTACTGGTAGAATGACAAAGTAAATTTCTGAGGCGTCTCAGCTGGTCGATACAGAGCGCGAATGTTTCATAGGGGTCTCCGTTTGCGCTGATGACAGAGCAATGAAACTGTCCATGAGGGACTCCACGCGGCTTCACATACAGCTCATCGAGTGTTTTAAGGTTACCCGTACCGTCTGGTGAACGGAAGGACTTTGCAAAGAGTGTGGCTTGAAACAGCGCTGTACAATCCCACTCTTCATATGACTTTTGTGTAGGAATACCCTTGTTGCCGAATTCATTTCTGTGTAATAATTTTCTCACAGCATCGGAGTCGTCCCACTGATTCCGTCTAAATTTTTTGTCCCACATCACCTTAAAAGTTTGACGTAAGGCTTTGGGAAATTCGTCCACGACAATGATGCTAAACTTTAAGTAGTTCAACCGCTCCTTTGACTCAAGTCGAACCATGTCTTCGATTTGTCAGATTTGTGAACTTGAACACCTTGGCCTCAGTTAAATCTAAAAATGGATTGAAAAAACATTTGTAAGACTCATTGTTCTTCTCACTTTGACTTCCGTCGTACCAATTAAGAACACAGTAACACTAAACAAATACAAAAATGGCGTCTTCAAACATTCGAAGACCTACAACGTAGGTATAGATTTTTAAGTTTGTAAAGAAACGAACGAAATAAATCATACCAAGTCACTTTGCGAGGCGGTTGATTGATACTGACGGCCAAATTTTGATATAGTGGCTAAATTCTCGTGGACTTGATCCCCAAAACGAGAGTTTAAGACTTGCTGATAAAGAAATGGCAAGGAGTCGTTCCTTAAAGAAAGGAAGAACTGTGAGAACGATTCGAAACTGAAACGGGAAAACACATTCCTAGAAGTAAAGATCATCAGTCCTGTGATCTTGGCTTGTAACGCCGGTTCGTCACGCCGTCGTCACGCTTTCTCTCCTGAACTGTAGGCTCTTTTCTCTTTTCTGGGGAAAGCTGGGATTTGCTCAATGGGGATGGGTAAAAAAAGGCTGAAATGGGAACGGGAGAATGATGTCTTTAATAAGGTTGTCTCAATAATTCCCCGATCAGTACTGTAACACCGTGTCAGGAAATCAGAGACACGGCATTTAGTGTATTTATTAGGTCATTGAAATTTTTTTTTCAAGAAATTTCTTTGTTTTATTATATATGGCCAAAATGCAGGACGTGCCGCTAATTCCTGGGCACAAACCCTCTTGGCACAAGTTAAGTGGGGAAGGAGGCGGCGTAAGCGAGTGGTCAGCGGGTTCATTATTCAGCGGTCCCGAATCCCGATGACAATCCCGATTGGATCGGCTTCGGCTCTGGGGTCCCGAGTTTCAGCCACTTAGCAAAAAGACCAGCAAACTAAAGAGGCCTTCGCTTGAGTCTCAAAGATAGAGGTATTAGTACCCCATAAATCCTCTCAAGCGTGGCATGGTCTCTCCAGCTGATGTTTTGTGCTTTTCTCATGTTTTCTCAGAAGGTTTCAGTATGGCAACCGTCGAGACTACACATAAACCTGGCAGACCCCTAATGGGCTTTAGCCATCTCTTGTTGTGGTGTTGGACTGATTTTGCTCTTTGTCTGCTAATTATTCATTTCATATTTTTATTCAGGATAACAATCTCAGTGCAAGATCCAGTTGTTAGAAAATTATTGCGTCATTGTGGCGGGAAAACTCGTCACGTGATCTGAAAACTGAGGTTTGCACGAGACTCTAGGAACTGTGTATAGACTGGGGTAACTTTCGCAAAAGAGAACTTCTGTCGGCAAATTCGAGGAAAAGTTGGGAAAAACACTTTTTTAGATAAGAATTGTGTGCTAAACACGAAAATTTTGTTTACAATTTATAACACATTGTGACGTGAAAACGAGGCTGTATGTTGTATGAGGATGCAGAATACTCTCAAACGGTTAAAACTTGTTCAGATCAACAGGTGACTGATACAACTTATTAGGGACTTTAAGATACAAGAACGCGGACGTCATCAAAGACGCCGTAGCCGCGTGGGGCCTGTGTCGAGGACGCCGTGTTTGTGGCGGGAAAAATAAGTTAAGATGGCGGGATTCAGCGACGCGGCCACTTATTGATAGAAAAAAAAAGTAGCGAATTTGTTTTTCTCTCCGAAGTAACAGATACTAATTATATTAGTGTTTTTAGTGCAAATGGCGACTTTTAAAGAAACCCGAGAAGTTTTGCTTGCTAGCTATGCCTGTGGTATCATTACGGATGAGGAATTTTCTTTACTTTTCGAAGAAAACAGTTCAAGCAACTTAGATTTCCCTTACGACAACTACCCGCCGTTCAATCTGGAGAGCCAAAGTGAAGCTGAGTGTAGGGCGAACTTCAGGGTTGAAAAGCACCACATTCCTCTGGTAGAAGATGTTCTTCAAATTCCGCAATTCTTCGTATGCGACCAGGGAACGGTTTGCGAAGGAACAGAAGGGCTTTGTATGCTTTTAAAGCGATATGCCTTTCCTTGTCGGTACTCCGACATGATACCTATTTTTGGACGACCGGTTCCAGAACTTTGTATGATAAGCAACACCGTAACAGACTGGATTTATGCGCATCATAGCCACAGAATCACGCAGTGGAACCAAACCATTTTAAATCCACTGGAGCTGGAAAAGTATGCGGAAGTTGTTTTCAACAAAGGTGCGCCACTAAGCAATTGCTTTGGTTTCGTAGATGGAACCGTGCGCCCAATTACTCGACCTGGGGAAAACCAGCGACTACTCTACAACGGTCACAAACGCGTACATGGATTAAAGTTTCAGTCCTTGGTCCTACCGAATGGGTTAATTGCACACTTGTATGGTCCAGTTGGTAAGCCACGCTGCTAACAAACTAAAAATAATATTTTAGCTTGCAAGCCTCCACTTCAGTTACCCTACAAACAAACCTACTAGGAAGATCTAAAATTGCTTTCATTACTTACTCTTTCTTAAGTCTCCTCCCAATTACTATGCTTATTATAAGAAGAAGGGTTAAAACAATTGTGAGAAAAGCAAATTCGAATTTCACGGGCTTTTCCATTGACCACCCTCACCCTCACCCCCACCGGCCCATTTTCTCTTGCCACTCTCTGTCAGTAAAGAAGTAAACTGCATGGATAACATATCAACACTGATTTCTATTTATTAACTTAAGTTTCTTATCTTGTCTAAACAGAAGGTAGGAGGCATGACGCAGCAATGTTGGCAGAGTCTGGCCTTTACAACAGTCTCAGGGCGCATGCTGTCTCAACAACTGGCCAACCGATGTGTATATACGGGGATCCAGCATATCCCCTTCGAATGCATCTCCAGGGACCTTTCCGGCAGCGAATACTGACTCCCCAACAGCAAGCTTACAACAGTTCCATGAGTGCAGTTCGCTGTTCCGTTGAATGGCTTTTTTCTGATATTTTAAATTATTTCAAATTTCTTGATTTCAAACGGAATTTAAAAATAGGGCTAAGCCAAGTAGGCAAAATGTACATTGTCTGTGCAATCCTTCAAAATGTTTTAACATGCTTGTACGGTAATTCAACATCCCAGTTTTTTGACCTAGATCCACCTTCTCTAGAGCATTATTTTTCCTAATCATGCTGTTTTGTAACCACCCAACATAAGACCTAAAAACTGTTCTGCGTTTATATGGGAAGATACCAAGAAAAGTAAATCAATGTCAAATAAAATTAAACACAACGAATAACTTGGCTTTATTATGGCTGTCAGCATCAATTTAAATCCAGTCATGAAAAATGTAAATTTTTAACCTTCTAAACACGTGGAAATAAAGTCCAAACTCCAGTCATTAAACATCTAACACGGTTACAGTTCTGATTGTCTTTCGCCGGATTGAAGTCCAGGCCAACTTAGTTCAAGTTTATATAACAACAAAGTAAACCGAGACCTGAAGCACCGCAAGGAATTAAAAAAAAAACCGAGTTTGTTTATTTCGGAACTAGTGTTTCAATAATCTTCATCATTGCTGTGGTTTGCAGCTGCTGCTGCTGCATTAGTAAGGATTGCATGTCATGCATTTGTTTATGCTGTTCCTGTTGTTGTTTTAACATTTGGTTGAACATATAAGTTTGCTGATTTTGGGCTATAGCCATCTTCTCTTGCTCCTGTTTTCTCAAATCCAATTCTTGCTTCTTAATATCCATGTCTTGCTCCGCCTTTAGTTTAAGAAACTCTACCGTTTCACTACCACTTCTTCTGCTTTTTTTCGCTTTGCTCTGCCCCTCCTCGGACTTTCTCTTCTGTGTTTTCCCTAATGTCTCCATAGCAGTTCTGCGCATCTCTTCTGCTTTCAGCCTGTCTCCTTCCATCTTGTCCCTCTTTTCGCCGTCTTCCAGGTCGTGCTGCTCATCGGCAGACTCTTCCATGGCAATAATTTGTTCTATAGCTTCATCTAATTCAGTTTTCGTAGGGCTTATACCACTTTCCTTCAATTCCTTGGCCTCTTTTCTTTTAAATCTTTGCACCAAAACCCCGATATGGTCTCGAACTGAGCGTTTATCCACAAAAAAAACAGGATCTTTAATGCTGTTTAGGGTATCCGCCACTCTTTGCCACAAGGCACTTCGCTGAACGGATTTCTTCTTTGCACTGAATGGGTTTACAAAGATTATTTCTCGGCAAAAAACCACATCATGTTCCTCCGTCCAGTTCATAATCCTGCCGACAAAAATAAGCGACATATACATTTTTTAATATACGTGCACAGCTACAAGAAAATTAAAGCAAACCTTGAATGTTGTACTATATGCGGAAATCACTTTTAGAAAATAATTTGAATCTATCGTTTACAGCGGCAAAGTCTTGGACGTCGGCTGGCCAAGCCAAGTGTGTGTAAAGTTATAAACCCGCTACTCTGTAGGAACTGCTTAATAAAGCAAACATTTTGCCGTCAGAGGCACTTATTTGGCAAACATAGTCCTTTACATGTTTCTGTTAATTTGTTTTGTTGTCTTTTCTTTAAAATCTCACACAACTTCTGCGGGAAATAGTGCGTGAATTAAATTCCCGCAAAATGAAGCGTAATGCGAGTAACCAAGATCTGTGAATAAATTTAATCAGGATGGGAAAATCTTCGACAAGAAGGAAATAATCGGGAACAACATTGCTTTTATACAACAAATCGTTTTGTTTCTTTAGCCGTAATTCACTGAACGAAGAATGCAAAAATCTACTCACTGCGGTTTGGAATTCGAGGCCATGGCAACTGATGTTTCTTGTGTTTACTGTTCGCAAGTTCAACTGAGCCTGAAAGGAAACAACAACAAAAAAAAAACGTGAGGAATATAGCCGGGATAATTAAGCTTTCAATATACAAACAAAAAGTGCCAATTCACTGTCTTAAATAAGTCAAAATAGGTTGAAATACTTACAGTTTGTCAACAACGTCAAAATGGTCTTCAGCGCGTTCGTCTTGAGCAAGGACGCGGCTTGTTTACGTCACGATCATGCGCAGTGGTAGTCATTTGGGGTATTTTTACTTCCGGTCGGCTTTCGTCACGTCCGCGTCGTTGTATCTTAAACTCCCTATTACTTACAGTACCTCGCGGAAACCGTCTGAAAATCACGTGATTTTTCTGGTCACGTGACCATTGAAAACGAGGTTATAGGCTATTCAGCATTTAGACAAATTTAGCGGCACAGTCATGAAAGAAACAAAATTACCAATCCAGGAATTCGCTCCGATAGTTACAGCACTTAGTACAGCATTTTATTTTTTCCTAAGATATTTACAGTACGTTCGCGATCTATATTGCAGACATCTTACTTCCATTTAGTCTCCTTCGCAGCAGTTATTAGGGTCATCACGCGACGAGTGGGGAGGAGCGTTGCGTGACGACCCTAATAACGGCTGCGAAGGAGACTAACTTCCATTTGGAACTATTGAATTTCTGGACGTTTGCAAAATCCTTGAAATAATTAACAAAAACTGCATTTTCTTAAAACTACTTTTAACTTTCACGCCCTAACCATTCTGGATACATGCTGTACTTATAACTAAAAAGGAATGTCATAACATTCGTTGATAACAGCCATTTTAGATGCGTCTGATGTCAGCTTCTAAAACACATTTAAGACATAAATTGATATTGTAAACATCAGACATCCTCGTCCTACAGGACGAAAATAAAAAAACGTTATTAGTCTATAGACAATTATAAAACAGGGATAAAAAATTACTTAGAGAAGCTAAACGCTTTTTTCTGCTGAGTACCATTTACTTTCCTTGGTTTGCAATGACATGACCATCACTTTGAACATCATTTGTGCAATTGAGATCTTCAGTGCTCCTGCATGTACACGGCGAGCTTTTGCCTGATTCCCATGAATTTATCAGGAATTTAAACAATTTGTCTTACAGTACTTCGGGACCGTTCGGGACCCAGTTGTCCGAAGACCGATTAGCGCTAACCCGAGGTTAAATTTTTATCCGGGTTTCTTCTTCTTTTGTTCGAAAGCATTTTCTCGAATAAGTTTCTTTAGTATTTCCCAAATCCGTGAATAGCACTTTTCTTGCCTTTTGATTGGCTCCCGCAACTCGGAATATCCTTTGCGACAGGAGCCAAAATGGCGTCTCGCCTCGAGGCATTTTCGGAAGACGAAATTTGAGCGATTAATGAAGCAGTCGTACAAACAAATACTACGAAGGCGACTATTTTGGCTTGTCGGTGTTTACTGGTAGGTACGAAATATATTTTCATGCTGAATTTGCAACAAAATCGTCAAAATACCAGAAATGTTTGTAAATTGTAAATTAAGTTCCTACTAAGTGACGTTTTTAATTTCCAAAAAGTTAGTTTTTTTCATTTTTATCCAACTGATTTGGTAAATACTAAATCAACTATCCCCCTCAGGATCGGTGAACAGTGCTAGATATATACCTCGACGCTTCGCGTTTCGTTATATTCAACACTATTCACCTCCCCTTCGGGGGATAGTTGTATACTATCCTTTTTAGGATCCAATAGTCATACTGAAGACAAAAAGAATTGAAGTGAATTTTGCTTTTTCAGCTTTCATCTCTGAATTCAAATGTCGCACTAACTGTGTGTTATCTTAACCAAGCTTTTAACAACCCGGCCCTGTAATTTGAATTCTCCAAACAAACACAGTCATCCGTCAGCAAGTTAAGAACAGAATTCACATGTGCAATCGCAAAATTTACTAGCTCCCAGCTATGAGGCATAATTTTCCTTGCAGGCTGTGCGGTCAGGAATGGCCATTGGATTTTGAGGATTTTGACTTATGGGCAAGCTGCATACATAATCTTAGGAATCGCTCAGTAATCCTTGGATATTATTCATAAGTCACAAACAATCATCAAAATTTAATATCTTACACATGCTCATTGTGGTATGTTCTAGGCAACTTGCCCCAGAATCCAAAAGGAAGATAGTTACTTGAAAGAAAGGAAACGTTTTGCATCACAAAGGTCATATGATCTGCAAAAAGCTTTCAGTGCGGGCTAAAATAATAATGAAAAACCCTAAGAGAAATCAGACCCACCTCAGTAAGGCTGAAACTACTGATTCAACTAACCTGTTGCAACAGGCTATTTCTTCTTCACCCACATTTTTGCTCTAGTTTTACTTTAATAATTTTATTCCCATGATCTTGATCTATGTCAATAATACTATTTATCATTTTTCATCACATATTTGATCTTGTTATTGACAAAATAGGGTTTCAGTCACTCATGACACTATCTACCCATCCTGCAATGGAACAGATACATTCATCTCAGCCAAGACCTCTTTTATACACTCAAGCAAATGCTCCATATCTTCAGGGTACAATTTTCCAATGTTGCCAATCCTAAAGCAGTCTGCATTGCTTACTTTTCCAGGGTAGATAACTTGGTCCCTACTGTTTAAGCGACTGTAGAACTCCTCAAAGTTGTAGTTAGGGTGGGTGGGGTTGTAGTAGGATGTTATGATGTAACCTTCATGGGTGTCGTCTAAAAACTTCTTAAAGCCAAGTTTTCTCATTCCATCTTGAAGGACATGGCAGTTTTCCATGTATCTGCAAATGTAAGTTTCAAGTTAAAATAAATTAACCCATTTGATCTCCAAGTCAATAACAGAGAAATGCAGCAAATGGTGAATTTAGCATCCAGGGTCAGGGGGGCGTAGCTAGGATTTTTCAAAGGAGGAGTCACACATGTCACACACAGGGCACTTACACAATTGGCATGTCGACATCCACGCCATGTTTTACTAAAAGTAACTTTTTTTTTTTTCGGATGAGCAGTGAGCATGGGGGGAGGGACAAGCCTACAAAATAGCTGCATAGATTAATTAAGTTCCATGTAGCATAAATTACTGTATTTTAGTTACGAACAAGAACTCGGACCACTGCAGATGTTAGGTCCTGCAAATGGAGTAAGTAATTATCTAGCACTGGAATTTTATTGCATGTTGATTCTTCAGATTCATGCGTTTTGGCCACCTGAATTATAGGGACATAAAACAATGATCCCACAAAGGGGGGTTGGGGGTCATGGGCACCCCAGGACCACCTGAGCTATGCTCCTTTAATTCTTTAAGTCAAGCAGGGGGACACTTATTCAAACAAGAGGCATATTTGAAGAGGCGTGCTATTGTTTTGCTAATTTGTGGAGCACATTGGCAATTCTTCATGGGTTAGACACCTAGCAGGGCAGGGGGAATCCCACATAAAAGAGACAGGGATGCTTATCGTCTCACTTAGGGGTGCAACTTGCAATTTTTGGTTTCAGTTAGGATGATCAGGACTATAATGAGTTAAATGGTAAAATAGGAAACTTTACCTTAACCTTATATAGTGACTAGGATGATCTGTTAACCGCTGTTGCAGATGACACAGCATGCAGTTCACAGTTGTTAAACTTTAAATAAAACTTACAAAAGGTTATAACTCTCTCACCTGTTTGCCCTTCCATCAACACCACCTTCAGCTTTGAACTCTGACAGAGCGCGGCGAAAAGCAAGCATGGCATGAGTAGCTGGAGTGAACCTAAACTGACCATTCTTCTCCAAACCCTCATACTGATCCACAATGTCAAGAGAAAGACTGCGGGCCCATCCTTTGCACCGATTCAATGACTCAATGTGCCCAATCACAAAAGAAAAGCCAGGTACACCTTCTATACACTTGTTTGCAGAGCTGACCATAAAGTCAATGTTGGCTAAGTCTAGATTAAGAGGAACTGCTCCAAAGCTGCTCATAGCATCGACAAAGAAGGATGCACTAGGAGCATGTTCTTTGACAAGTTTGCCTACTGCTCCCACTGGATGAATGACCCCTGTAGAAGTCTCGCAGTGCACCATAGCAACATTAGTGATGGATTTGTCACTCTTCAAGATTTCCTCGACTTTAGCCAAGTCTGCCTTTGCATTTTCCTCTCCATGCAAGACAACCTGGACAGAAAGGAAACAAAAATGCTGGGGTATTACAATTAATTTACATGTACAATTTTCCACAAAGCAGAAGGTATGTTTTGTAATTCTCACTTAATTGAAAAAGGATTATAATAGAACTGACAATAACGCAAGTCTTAAACATTACAAACATTGTGGTCTTTTTAAAACCACTGTGATTTGCTTCCTGTCTTCTATTCTAAACAAGATACAGCCATATTGCCTTCAGCAATAAATTATTGATACAAGATAGCTGAACATGAAGGACACCTTCTCTTCAGCCATATTTCCAATGAGGTAATTTTCATTCAGTTAGCCAGTAAGTATAAATTTAGAAACTGGAATAAATAATATTTGTTCATTTTCATGATAAGTATTGTAACAGCCAAACACTTCGACAGATTTTTCTGACTGCTCTAATAAAAATAAAAATCAGCACAACTCAAGAAAGTTATAATTTTGTGATCATTTAAAATAATTACACTGTACTTATCACAGAAAGCTAACCAAGCACAAATCTAGTTTTCAAAATATTGACCAAAATGTTAAAATGGAAGCATCAATCTAAAGAAATCTTACTATTTTGAAACCATGAAATTCACCCTGTATGCATGTATAACTCTCGACAATTGCTTGGTTTAATGGATAAAAATATAGACTCACTTTTATGTGTTTACAAGGTATGCCCAACAAAAAATTGTTTAATCAGCAGAGAGTGGAAGGGCAGTATAGTGAGAGATTGTCACAAGACTTCTTCTTGATTCCAGAAAATATACACTGAAAAACCTTTAAGTTGGTGCAAACTACAGGTACTGTTGTATTCATACCGTTTCAATTCCGGCAACTTCACAGATCTTTGCCATTCTCTTTCCATAGGAACCATTTTCAATAATGAAGACCTTCCCTCCATCTCGTGGTGTTGTAGTTGTAAGAACAGCCTCCACTGCATAAGTTCCACTCCCTTGAAGTAAAACTGTTGTGTATTCTTTGGGAGAAACACCAGCAATTTCTAAAAGCCTTGAACGAATGGATTTTACAATGCCTATGAACTCAATGTCACGTGAACCAAGGTCTCGTAGCATGGATCGCTTTGTATCAAAGCTTACACCAAGTGGCCCAGGAGTGAAAAGCTTTTTGTCCTTGTGGGCTCCTGATTCTAAATCTACAATAAAATAGACAAATCAGACAAAGTACATGTAGCAGTTATCAATAAATTGTAACAATGCACTTTTACTATCATCATCATCATCATCATCATTAGTAGGTGATGGTCATTAGCGGCAATGGTCAAAAGATTGATGTATTGCATCAAAATCATCATCATTTTTCAACACAAATATAGCAGTGTCTGTTGTTGACAAGAGCCTGCACACCGGGACGACTTAGGTAAGCCTGCTCGTCATGTTTGCCCTGAATTTAAAATTGAATCGTTTGCTTTATGCAGATATAACCTAGCCTGCGTCGCAGACGTATTAATTTAACCTCAGACTTTACCAGAGTTTAGTTTCGTCTGTGGCGCAGGCTAATATATAACCAAAATACACAAGGTTATTTTTCCGTTTGGGTCTATTGTTGGTTTCATGTCGTTAGATGATCTGCTTTCAATCAATTTTTTGTCAGTTGATGCAGCGCTGTCACATTAATACATTGCAGGCGTAAATTAAAAGCCAAGGTCTCTGCAGCAGTCACCCCCTTTCCTTTTCTCCACTCACATGTCCTCAAGATTTTCTTCCTTCACCTTAAAAAAACGCAGGCTATGATTGAAGATACAGAGAGAACTGAAAATGAATCATGTAGTCTCAGCAGCATTTCAGTTAGAGATGGGTTGATGTAATGGGTTGGTGTAAGGAGGACTATTGAGAGGGGGGGGGGCAAGCTTATTTTTGTGACGTCATGAACGACCATTTTTGGTATCCGTGAATTGTGATATACTGAAATACTGTTCCATGAATAATTGTGATTGAAGTGCAGTCCGTGAAACCTAAACTACCAAAATTCTCGATAATTTTTTTTTACACATACACTGAACATCAATCAAAGAAAATAAATCATTATTTTATTCGGCCAAACGACTTAACTAGCATCTGGTGGCTTGATTTAACTTCACTTTCAAGTCAGTGTGCTAAGACCCAACTACAGCTGGCTTCCCTTGGGAATTTATAGCTGTGTAGTGTTTTTCATAAGGTTCGTAAAACTTTAGTTAACATGCTAAAATATAATCCAAGCACTCTGTTTTACAAAATGGGAGTAATGTAGCATTTTTGACATTTTGTTTAACCTCTATTTTTGAGAAGTGTAAAAACGTAAATTTTGTTTTGTGACTCGTGAAACGCACAATTGTTGTTTGTGAACTCAAGATAACCCCCCCACTCCTTGCCTGCCCTCTCTCACTACTAGAAGAGGTAAAATTGATGAAGGTATCATTTTAACCAGAGTCTCGGCTTAGTGAGAGGCAAGCAAAAAAGCCATGACAGACTGTACGATCAAATTTTTAATTAAAATCTTCTTTGAGGCCGGTTTTCACTAGCGATGGAGTCAGTTGGAGTTGTAGTCAGAAGCACAGAGCTTTACGATTTAGTGAAAAGAGCATTCTGATTCCACTTACGACTCTGTTGATTACAATAATAAGTGAAAACTAGTTTTGTCAAAGTCACAAGCAGAAGCGGACGAACAAAACCAATCACAAAGCAGGGAATGAGCATTGTGATATGTTTATTCTTCCACTTCTGCTTCCGACTCCAACAATCTGGTTTTTACTAGATCATAAACAATGGAGTCATAAGCAGAGTCACAAGAAAATGGAAACGTTCTGATTTTTCCAACTGCAATTCCATTGCACTTATGACTCCACTAACAACTCTGATTTTTGATTTTCACTAAGTCATAAGCGCTCTTTACGCCTTTGTTTATGATTCTGACTCCGATTCTGTCATTAGTGAAAAGCATCCTTACATACACTTGTTTGCATTATGATCATGGTTTAATTCAAAGGTAGTCCACGTTCACCATAAGGATTTACAAAGCAAGATGGCATCTTGATGTATGTACGATGTACGTACACAGGTTATACGTCTTATACTACTACATGAGAAATTTCTGCAATTTGATTGGCTTAGAGCAGTGGTATTTCAACTTAATTTGAAATACCTATGTGTGAGAATTACAAACCTTTTGTGGGTAGTAGTATAAACAAATAATAGCATGATTTAGTGATAGTGATATTTGGCGTAAATACCACTCGTGATATTTCAAAATTGTCTCAAATTTCATTTGCCTAACGGCTCGTGAAATTACGTATAACAATTTCGAAATATCACTACAAATCATGCTATTACCTATACTAAATTATCTTACAAACAATCACCTTTACTCTCATAAACGAGAAACTGGAGCTTAGAGTTTAGTTTAATTTACATCCACGTGATGGCTATGCTTTTGTGGATTATTTGAATAAACGTAAACGTTATGGTTGTTGAGTATTTTTTTCTTCATTGCGTGACATATCGATTTCATTGGACATCACTGAGCTGCCAACAAACGCGATAATGTGGCAACGCACGAACGAATAACATACCAATAATTCAGAAATATTTTATATTCCACCGAATGTTTCCATTACTATGAAATACGCAACTTTATATTTTACGGTTTTAAGATAAACTTAAGCATGAAAAGAACAATCTTTCATACCTGGTTCGTCGAGACTCGAGCCTGCGGGCGCTGAACAAAGCCACTTTTGGCTAGTGTAGATTGCTTGAGGAGATCTATTACAAATCCTGGCGACATAAGACAAAGACCTTGCAGCTTTATAACGAAACGCCATAGCTAAAACTCTGTCGCGAAGGAAAATAGAACAGAAACCTTCTCTATAAAGTCCCAATAAAGTGGCTAGTATAAACAACAAGAACAGATCACTGCCAACGCACACGCATGCGGGGTAATCCGGGTGGGTATGTAGGGGGAGGGGCTTTAGAGGCAAGGGCCCAGGGATCGACGGCCGTCTCCTCATAAACATTCTGTGTGGTCCCAATGTAATATCCAGTTCCCACGAATCTAAAGCGCAAAAAGAGTATGAAGTAAAAAGTTTCTGGAACCAGTAACTCAAAAGGAGATTTGTTCAAATTAAATTATTCGTGCCGTGAACGTGGCCTGCCTGGAATTTTTTCAGCCGGAAACATGTTGTCAATCATGTGATTAAGTGATAGTAACGGGAACCGGAACGGATGATGTAAATATTAAAGAACAATGAACCAACTGAAGAGTGGCTTTCGCGCGGAAAAATATTCCTTCCAAAATTTCGTGCTTAAAAATTTACTACAGCCTGTAATCTCTCCCCGTGTCCCTAGCTCGCAATGTTAAACAAGAACAAAAAAAAGCTTGATTGCCGTTGCGCAGCACCGAACAGTCCCTCTTTATCTGATTCTATCCGCGAAGGCTATAAGCCTCACTTCCATGCAACTTCCGTTTTAAAAGGGTAAGGGGTTGGACCTTGGGACGGAGCCTCCCCATGTAAAACTTTATTGAGTATCATTCCTTCCCCATCCACCCTGGGGGCTTGTCGTCTGATCTCGCTGAAGAAATGGTCTCACAGTAGGGTAAGCCTGCGCGCAGACGAAATTAAACTCTACTAATCAGAGTTTAGTTATCGTCTGCACGCAGGCTACTGTAGGGTAAGCGAACAGAAAGCCAATATTTTTACCCATACGCTTAGGGTTGTGCGTAAAGAAATATCTGTATCTAGTACGGCTCTCATTTTAGGGGTCAAATAAAACCTGAGTCACGGACACTGATTAGTCTCCTTAAGGGGTTTACTAATTCTAGATTGCTGAGAAGCTTCCCCGTCTCTTTCGTATGGGAGTTCTCTAAATGTAAGAAGAAGCACCATGTAGCACGATCGTCTGAACAACCGTGCCTACTTATGCATTGTCACAGTCGATTACGGACATACCTATAAGATGGCAAGGGGTATACGATTGGCTTGGTGTACGATGAGTTTCCCTCGTCCCAAAACGCTCCGACGCCTCTGAATTTTTCGTGATACTGCTCCTTTAAAGAGCAAAAGATGGCGATAGCAACGAAAAAGAGACAAACTAGAAGCTGCTTATTTATATGTTTATTTATTTAATAACTTTCACCATATGGAGTGACACAAAACAGAGCGGGGCTCCAATTTAAGTGTGTCCTTACAGATATCCCACCCAGCCCAAGAAAGGTTGGCCACACCACTGGGATTTACGTCCCCGACTCTTTTCGAACAGTGGTGTGGGTTCTTTTACGTTCCACAATGCAAGAACCAGATAACGGAAAGTGCTGTGAGACAGGACCTACGGTGTTTCGTCCTTATCCGAGAAGACTAGAAAGACTAACCGTTTGTAGATGTAACTGAAAAGGCAGCACTTTCTCCTCAGTTATTTAAAGACTCTGAGTGTTGGCCCGGCTGGGGTTTGAACCCGCGACCTCCCGCAGCTAATCATGTTGCAGTTTAGTAAATCATATATTTTTTCCCTTTCGAACGGAGACTTTGACGCTGGTTGGAACTGAAACTGTCAAGAAGTAGGTGATCAATATATAGATTTCGAAAAAATCCGGAAAAGTGTGTAAAGTGCCCTCAATGACGATTTGTATTGCATGCTTAGTAGGCAAAAACAATCGAGTTGACTAGTACGTGGTTTATTTAAGGGGCATAAATGCAAAGTAATAATTCTTTGCAAACTACATTCTGCTTCAAGAGAGTTTCAAGAGTGAATGCATCGTTTACGTTGCCTAGTCCCTAGTCCCAGTTCCTCTCGGTCAATTCAATTTGGCCACAGCTTCGCTTGAGCCACGTGACCCGAAACGCTTTGGCCGCGTGGAATAGTGAGGTCTGGGGACTCTGTGGCTGAAAACCTACGGTGTTCACATGGTACTATTTGTTTTTCAGCATTTTACAAAATTAAATTGGAAAATTTTGTAGCGTTTTTTTTCCGCTTCTGAGATGGGTGAAAGGTTAAAGGAGACTTAGCCGCTGAATGGAAGAGAATAAAAGGAGGCCGGGAGCCTGAGGAGGCCTTAAATAATCTTCCTGCTATTTATTATATTATCAAGAGATTATAAGGGGCATCTCTGATACCATCTCTGTATTGATTCACTACGTCTTAACTAAGTCTGCAAACAAGTACCTTTTACAGGTTCCGAGAACAAACCTGAAAAGTTATGGCGACATAGTTTTTTCCGGTTGCTGCGCCTAGCTTTTGGAATGACCTGCCAGTGGAGAAAAGTAGTCCATCTGGCGCTATGTTGAAAGACTTTGAAGACCTATCTTTCTTTCGAATTGCATATAATTTCTTTGTTTTTTAAAGCACAGGTATTTGTCGGAATTTGCTACTATAATTGTAAAGCGCAACCTCGTCCCCGGGGCGCTTTCCCATGGCTTTAAAGCCGGGGAAAAACGCCCTGGGAACGAGGTTGTGTAAAGCGGTATAGAGCTTTTAGTACAATTTGCTAAATGAAATAAAAAAATTTCATTATTGTAATTATTATCATTATTTATCAAAGGAGATCAAGTGGCAAGGAATTATAATGGGAAACTAGTAAAACTATATAGATGTCAATTATGTTGACTTCAAATAGTTTCAGGGTCTTTGTCGTCAACATCTGTTATGAAACTATAGTCACAATAACAAACTACTACTTCGAAACATACATCTGATGAACCTTGAAACTCAAACGACGTTTGGGTAGAAGGCAAAGGCAACCTTTCTACAATCGAAGGGATCAAATAGGTTAAACGTGATCGAAATTAGCAACCAAGTCCCTTTCATGAGGTACCAGGCAAGTCCAAGATCTATGGCTCGGTTACCAAATGTAATAGTTAATCTACATTGAATTAAACAAAGGTAATCCCAGTACTGTGAAGTACTGAGTACAACGCGCTTGTGACTACTAAAAGGCGCACACGGTCGCCCGATCGCCACTTGATAATAACCGATGAATGATTTCACATATTTTCTTACAAGCCGTTAACTCTCTTTCCAGCTTTGCAGCATCCGCCCGGCTCTGATCTCTTCCCTTCAATCTAGAGGCAACGAAGTCTTGCCGAGGCATGAAAAACGATGGGAATTCTTCATCCTGGCACACATATTGACGTATTCTCTCGTAGATTCGTTGCACCCATACTTTTAAGTTGTGCCTCTCGTCCAGACCGTGTTTGTCTAGTTCGTGAAACAAAGCCGTTTTTAGCCAATAAGAGGGAAATAAAGAGGAGGCATAATGATGTTTCTCATCGTGGAGAATTTGCTCTTCATCCACCAATGCTGGGCATACTTCACGAATGGCTTTAGCAACAATATAGGCATCCTTGAGGTTTTCAGGAATGTTGTCGAAGATTTCACTCTCGACAAGAGAGAAGGATATTCTCACTTCATTCCCAAAAATACCACGTTCAAACCTTGGAATGGCCATTGTGAAGAGGCACTGTTTTTCAACGTTTTCCAGAAGACGGCTATACGAGATTGCATCCTTTGGCCAAAACGAAGCCCCGACATCTATGACTGGCACAACATCGACTGAGTATATCATGTTCTTGTAGACTGGGCCATTCCAACAGAGCTCGATGATGATTGACGGCTTAGGAGCGGCAATACTCGTGTCTGAGCTGGGAAGGACGAAATTGGAGCAGATTCGGCAATTTTGCCACAACTTGGAATCAAACATGACCTGCCTCACGATTTGCTGGAACTTGGACCTGACCAAATAGGGCAGCAGATATCCATCATTATCAAAGAATTCATTCATGCTCTCACAGGCATCAGCACTCTTCGCCAAACGTACAAAACCGGGTGAACATGTACCGTCTTCGATTACTCTGCAACTAGAGCTGAACGTTTGAAGCTTGCACATGAAATCAAACTCATCAGGTAGTCCAGCCTTGGTTCTCTCACGAACACTCCCTGATACGATCATTATCGATCGGAAACGAGGATCATAGTGGGCTACTTCATCAAGAATCTTCCCTATAAGGTTTTCCGTTTCCTGGCAAATTTGGGCCACTTCGTCACTTTGAAGTGATACTTTTCCTCTCCTCGGTGTGTGCAAAACATGTTCCACGTATTCCTCCACGTTTATTGGTGGGTTTATTTGAACTTCCTTCACATCCACTGAAACTGGCTCTTCCTTTTTTTCAAATGGCTTATAAAAAGGGCCTTCACCTTGCCGTGAAAACTGAGCACAAAGTTCGCAGGAACTGCTTGGCACCCTTCTCTCTTTTTTTAATGTTGGATGGCTCCCTCCGTACTTTTTAAGTTGATCGATCATTTCTTGGTTAAGCGTTGTCACTGCACAATCAATGACACTTTCCCCTAAACAGTTTGCTAACGTGACGTCAGCTACAGTGCCTGACACCCACAAATAACAGGGCGCAATGGTGTTATTTGTAAATTCCGCATAGTGCATTGGTGTTGACATAAACTCGTCTTGTGCATTTATGTCCCATGGAACTTCACACCCTCCAAGCTTAAGCCCTTTGTGAGCTAAAACAATGTGAGCCAACGTCACTCCATTTTTTCGAGCACAATTCCAGTTGATGGCTTGTTTGACAGTGTCGTTACCTTCTATGCAGTCCCAAGGCCACTGAAATGTCGTCAGGCGACTGCGATCGCGTGTTGCAGTGACATGAACAGGGGTAAAGCCTTCCGCATCCTGCAAATTGATGTCTGCCCCAAGTGGCATCAACTCCTGTAATACTGTTAGCCATTTCTGATGGGCAGCTGCGTAACTTGCATAATGTACAGGAGAGCGTAGCATGTTATCTCTGACATTCAGGCTAGCTCCATGTTTAACTAAGACATCAGCAAATGATGCAATATCAGATTCTGATGCGTAATTGCCTTGACGTAGCATCAACACGTGAAGTGGTGTCAGTCCTTGTTCATCTGGTATCAAGGGATCTGCCCCATGCTCCAGCAAGGCTGTCAGGGTAGTCAAGATAGCTTCCTTTCCTTCACGTGCAGAAACAGCGCCGCAACAAGCCATGAACAAGGGTGTCTGGTGCTTTTTGTTCAGGGCGTTGACCGCTACACCACATTTCAGCAGTATTTCCACTATTTCTTGACTGCGATATTGGCAGCAAATATGCAATCCGTTTTCCCCTTTTGCATTCGTGTGGTTGACATCAACTCCGTGATCAATCAGAATGTTTATCTTTGGCAGGTTCAGTGCAAACTCTTCTTCGTCGATACATCCATAAGCCATGCCACAAGCATTCAAAAAGGGGGTGTCACCAAACCTGTCTTGAGCATTTACCAGCGCTCCAGACTTCAGTAGGAGTTTAAGCACCTCAGGAGTAGCGTTTGATATGCATGCATAGTGTACAGGTGTCTTACCCAAAATGCTTGGATGATTCACCTCAGCGCCAGCATCGATCAACAACTTGGCGACCTCTTGAGACTGGCAGTAATACAAAGGAGACTTACCATCTTTGTCAAGAACATTCACATCACTTCCCATGGTAATAAGGTGTTGTGTTACATCTGATCTATCTGTGGTTGATGCGATGTGAAGTAAGGACCATCTACCTGTATCTTTCTTGACAGCGGCGTTTGGTCCAATCTCTTCAGAAACCTTCTGTATATTCTCCAGTGGTTCAGCTTTGAAAAGTTTGTGTAACTGGTGAAAAGAGTATTTTTCCATGCTCATCAAAGTCTTCACTTTAACTTTAACTTTACTGCGAATTTTCTTGGGAAGCGCTGTTCCGTTTCAGCAGACCGGTTTGTGTGCCAAGATCGATCCCTGCACTCTCGTCGACTTCCAGGATATTACGCTATTACAAGATCCTTCGGCCGGACTCCAACACGATGAAACTCCCTGTAAAAATTTAAACTTTCAGGTTTAAAATAAGGTGTATAATACGCGTATCGACGCACAGAAGTCTCAGTCCGACAACTTCCGCCTTCGAAAGCGAAACCTGAGACTGCTGGGAAGTTTCACCACCTAGACCCAGACCCTTTTCAGTATTCGCGTGCACCTTCCGAAGGAGGCGAAAACTTCACTTACAAGGGGAATTTGTGTTTTATCAAGTTATCGCGATTATTCCGCTTGTTTACGTAAAATTAAGCATTTCTACATCATAGGACTCGTAGGCTCGCGGTGACGGCAAAGAAATGTGCAAAAATTTTAAGTGTCCTGCACGTGCAAAGTTATTTTGCTAAATAAACATACTGACTGCTTTTTTGACGTTCTCGTTGCGGTCGCCGTCGTCGGATCTTAAGGACCTTATTCACCGAGGTAGCCTCTTTTATATTATGGGCCTGTAAAAAGGTTGCCAGGCGACATTAATACAAATAAAATAAAAAATTAACTTTGCTCATCAGTACTTGACAAAACATTTTCAACAAGCTGAAAATGTTCCAGCTACTTCATGTCTCTCATTTGGCTATTTGTTCTTTGATTCAAAGAAGACACCAAACACAATGTTCAACCTGTTTTAGTGTTGTTTAGCATTTGGCTATTTAATGATGTTAAACTTTTGATCTCGTCCCACATAATTCAAATTGTTCCCAAAAATAATCAGTTACTTTAATCGAGTCTAAAAACGTTTAAGGAATTCATAATATTCTGACCTGAGGGAGTTTCTTCTCTTTAATTCATACGGTGCACATTATTTTATCGCAAATGCATCCCTAGCCACTTCACTAAGCATTTTAAAAGAGCGACGCCTTATTTAAGATAACCAGGCAGCATGTACAGACGGGCTATTAGGGAGCTTAAGCAACAACGACAGTGACGGCTACAAAAACGTCACTTAAAAAGTGAATTCGCACCGCTTCAAACTTTATCGCGGTTATTCCATCTCGTTTACTTCGTCAAATGTTAGCAAATGTTTTTGAAGTTGAATTTTGAAGGATTGTATCAAAGTTCAGGAAAAGAAAAGAAAGTTGTTGTCTTGTGTTCTCGTCCTCGACAAAACGTGAATTCAGGCACTTTCAAGTTGTAGTCGGGCAACGACGGCAAAGAAATGTACAAATAAGCGTGATGCACGTGCAAAGTTGTTGTTTTACTAATCAAACCTATTGCTTTTTTGCCGTTCTCGTTGCCGTCGGCGTCGTCGTTGCTTAAGCTCCCTAATTACAATACACTACACTGCCGTCTATGCAGCAAAAAGGATTGGAGCGCGCACATCCTCGAAGACCTCCGTTCCCATTTCCCTTCCCTTCGTATGTCTTTCTAGATGGAGTTAACAATATTACAATGCTGTCATGGGAGGAGTGCAGTTATAACAGTCTTAGCCACAAGACCAACTGGAAAATTTGCATCAGTTTTCACATAATTTTAATACCTTATGTTTAAGAAAACAAGTGTTTACGGAGGATCTATGCTGCTACAGGGTTTCAAATTGATTCCTGTTGATAACATCTAGATGAGATTTTAAAAACGCACATCCCCTGGTAAGGAGAATCAAAGGCATTATGACGCACGGTTAAACAGGGCTAGGTCACTGAATTTTGGTGTTTGTTAAATACGAGCTACTTAACACTTCAAACTGTCAACCACCTCATGCGTATTTGCAAAATCGCCACCACGTCGCTGAGATGCACTTTCATTTCCATACATTTTGAATGAAACACTTGTTTTAGAAAATGAGATAAAGTTGAAAAAACTTGAGTCAACGTTTTCCAAGTTTACCCGACTGACAACAATTTTAATCTCTTCCATTTGTGCCATTAATGAACTCCCACTGCCACACAACTTCGTATTTCTTCACTATCCAGGCATGTACAGTCCTAACAGATTATTTTGGTAGCAACAACGTTTTTTTTTTAAAAAAGTCTTCGATTGTGTGACCTAGCCGCTGTTACAAGGTGATACCTCCTCCCTTAAACGGTTATGGGAAGAATATGGCCAAAAGAATGGAGATACTGTGCATTGATCACGAGCTTTAAAAATTGAGAAAAGCACATTTTTTGTACAACTATAAGGTTCCGCTAAACACTATTACAAAAACGTTTACGGATTTGGGTTTAAGTGGAATATATTACAAAGTTATACCCTTTTCAGCATCTACACAACATGCTATGACGTATCTCGATAATAAAACAAAAACTATGAACAAACACTAACATATGATTTGACTTTTTGCGGAGGCCCCAGTTGTTAAAAGGGTGGATAGCGCTATCCACTGGATAAATCTCTACCTAGTGGACAGCGCAATACCTACCCGCTCGACAGCGATTTATCGGGTGGACAGGGTCATCCAACGTTTGAACAACCGGGGCCAGACTATTTGAGAATAATAACTTTTTAGCCGCATTTTGATGCTAATAAAATAATAAAAATGTCACTGAGTAAAGTTTGTTTTTTCCACATTGTTATCATGTTTTCATGATAAACAAAATCGTCCCAAAATGATTTAAGATACAGTCAATGTTGAAAAGTTCACCACAATGCCAACTTTGATTTCATGTTCAACAGTTAGGAAATAAAATTTTATGAACTATAATACACTTCAATCACTTTGTACCCAAGCTGCTTGAACGAACTTGTCTATTCTGAATGGTTTTGCTCTCAAACTTCAAAGATCTTCAAAATGATAACAACAAAGACATGGAAGCGAAATTTCACTTCTTGACAAAAATGTGGGCACCACCAGAAATGCCCCCATCTTACAACATATTTAGAACTGAACAGAACAAACTTTTTCACTTACTACTACTTAATTAAAAGTACAGAGTTACCTATCCATTCCCCTTAACTATTATCGCCTTCACACTTACACTGAGATAGGATGAGAAGATTTGTCACTTGAACGTTTGCATCTGTGGACAAAATCCTATAAAGTTACCATTCAAATGAGTCCGCTCTCGCAACACTTTCACATGGTGTGGTTATTTATTTAATAATAATAATGTAGTTCTAACTTTTGAGTCTGTGGACAAAATCCTATGGTGTCACTATTCAAATGAAACCTCTTCAGTAGTACTTTCACGTGGTACTTTTCATTTAGTATGTAGTTCTAATTTTTGAGTCTGTGGACAAAATCCTACAGTGTTACCATTCAAATCAAACCTCTTCAGTAGCACTTTCGTGTGGTACTATTTATTTAGTATGTAGTTCTGACTTTCAAGGCTGTGGATGAAATCCCATGGTGTTACCTCTCAAATGAAACCTTTTCAGTAGTACTTTCACGTGGTGCTATTCATTTAGTATGTAGTTTTAACTTTTAAGTCTGAGGACGAAATCCAATGGCGTTATCATTCAAATGAAACATATGGCGCAACTTTTGCATACTGTTCATTTCTAAGGATTGTACAAAAAGAAAGTTGCTTTTTTGCTGTGAATCCTTTTTTTGGCCACCATTAAGAGTGGAAGGACTAAGAGTAACCCGGAATCTACCACTGAGATGAATACAGTGAAACCTGCACCAAGCGGAACCCATGCTAGTTGGACACTTACCAGACACCAAGGCCAGTAAGTCTAATCTTTTATCGCATTTTTTTCTGTAGAAGGAACACATATTAAGCAGAAACCTCCAGTAATGGTTTCATGTGTGCCTGCTAAATACAGGTGTCAATTTACAACTACGAAAATAATATTTTTTGTTAAATGCACCTTCTCGGCACACGTGGTACTAAGTATCTATTTGAAGAACACTCAAACTTCTATAAAGCCACCTCCTAATAAGCAGGCACCCTCTATTGAAGCGGCCAGTTACCAGAGACCAAGTGGATAAAATTATCAGTAAATCGCTGTCAACAGCGATTTACTGATAATTTTATAAAAGCAGCCAACCTTAATCACGCTGCCACTCCCCTCCACTAGGATGGCCTCTTCATAGAGATTTCACTGTATTAAATGGCTGCACAACAGCACATTATTTGTTACTTATTCAGGCTTTAGGGGAAACATCAGTACAGGTGAATTCATGAAGGCTAAATCTTCAAGTTGATCTAAAATATTCTTGGCTGCAGCACTTAATTGAGCTTGTTTTCCCTGTGATGAAAGTGGAATCGTTATCCCTCCACGTTGCCAAACTTTCTTAGTGTCTGATGTCTTCTGAGGTTTTGGACTGTCCAACTTTTGTTGATCCACTGAAGATAATGAAATGTTAAGCCCCAATAAGTCTTCTTCATAGAGACCTCTGGACTCTAAAAAATGAAAAAAAGCAAGGAAAGAAGCTCCAACTAGCCAAAAATAACAAGTATACCCAGCAGTCTGGCCTTCGGGTACAGTCAATTTAACTGTTCTTGCCTCCAGCCCACCCTTCCCTCTGAATATATGGCAAGTATCAGCCACAATCTCCACCGAGGTTCTCAGTGTGACAGCGCCTCGCAGAGGCCACTCACAGGGTTGTCATGGTTACCTTCCAAGCTCACTTGCAGCTCCCTCAGTTTGACCAGGCACCTTCCCCACACACCCATCTATGGAAGGTGGGTTTTAAAGAGATCTAAAACAAGTTGCGGCTATATTGGGGGGTATTTGGAGCATTTTTTTGTTCTTGATCAACAATTTCTCAGGAACATGGTGAAGCCCCGGTGATTGAGGTAAAAACTTTTCAGCAGAAATTGAATAATAAGAAAAAATACATGACGAATCAAATGTACAAGACAAGACATAATGAAATTAAATGAAGAAATAATCCTTGCACAAACAAAAGAAAAGAAATTTCAAGAAACCTGAAAAATAGCATTTTGTTGTGGGTTCTGAATTTTTTTCCACATTCTGATTTATGATCTTTTTTCTTTCCATTCTTAAAAATAACTGTAGGCATCCTTCAAGAATAATTTCAAAATAAGCTAGGTACCTGTCTTTCCCTCTTGAGGCTGGCTTATACTTGGTGCAAAGAAATCAAGATCAAGTGAAGATGACTCAGATGTGGTATCTGATATGTTGTCCTTAACATCTATCAAAATAAGCATAACAGGAGATTAAGATTGATAAAGTGTTTTAGCTAACAAATGTACCTAATATATATCTTAACTTATCTAGTCAGAAGTCCTTATTCACTGCAGAGTTATAAGAGAAGCAAGCACATACTCATTATAGATTTAACCAGAGCTAAAAGCGAAGCTCCTGTTTATGCATTTTAAATTTACTGCAGAGAATGGACTTTTAAACTATTGAAAAGACCACAAATCTATACTTAACTTTATGGGAAAACCAAACGACTGAAAAACAAATTTGAGCCCGCGATCAATTAAATGCTAACAACTGGTAAGTGGAAAACTTAAAAAAAACATGTGACTTCAATGAGTTGGCACCTGAGCCCATGATACCATCAAGTGACGCTGGTCAGCGGATACATTTTTTTGACACTGATCAATTGACCATAACATGGATGTCTATTATCAGGTTAACACAGGTCACAAGCTCCCACACTAGCTAGAAAATTTGACATTGCACATTGGGTGCCCTGTGGTGTGGACGAACTGGTGGATGGGCATACGGTTACATGATCACCCAAATTTCTCAGATGGATAGATAACCAATTTTTCTAAAGTATGGGACTCCGCTTGCTTGCGCACATGTAGAGCTCTGCTAATAGTTTTACTACCAAGTTTTTGCTCCTTCTAAGTTTTTCATTGTTTAGACTTCTACCATTTGCTGCAAAACTCAAAGAACCCAAAAATATTTATGGAGTGTTATTGTGAGGCATGAGAAAACTCAACTAGGAGCAACAGCAGTTATTAGTTTGTGGTTTTTTGGCTTGCTTGCGTGTCCTAATCTTTGTTTTGATTGGTTACAGGACAATAAACATTCCTGAAAATATTTATATTTCAGATGTTCATGCTTTTGTCAGTTTGACAGTAAAACTCTAATACTTTTCGTCAATCAGATATCATTACTGATTAGGTTATACTACTGGAGGTGTCTCCTATTGCTTGCTATTATAGGTTTTCCCAGCAATTTCCACAATCATGAAAATGCATGCCTTCATCAATGACTAGTGACAATATCAAATTCCAGAAATTGATTCAGAGAAATTCTCACTTGATTTTAATCATGAAAATGCATGCCTTTATCCCTGACTAGTGACAAGATAGAATCCCAACAAGACATTGATTCAGAGAAAGTATTGCTTGATTTAAGAATTAACAGCTCAATACTTTTTTTAACTATAGAATTAAAAACAGCATGACCCTATCCATCCTGCAGAGTCTTATGAATAAAGGAATCAATTTCACAAGAAACTGAGGTACTGCATTGGTGGTACAATAAAAAAGTTTGGTTTATTAACTGAGTTCTAAACGTAAATTGTACACTGGAAAAAGATTCAAAAGCTGACATTTTAAGGGCTATCACACAAGTGGCATAATACATATAAAGCAGTCTTGATGAACTATGCAAACCTGATTGCTTCTAGTAACTTCAAAAGCTATATCTTCAGGGTTGGAAAGTCTGGTTAAGAAGACACAAAAAACTGTTGCATCCTACACATTTAAACTTAATTGACTCGCTCACCTGGTTTTGAAGATGTGCACTTTAGGCTGTCACCCATTATAAACTGAAAACAAAAACAAACAGCTTTTAAAATTCAACAGCAACAGCCTGAATACCGATACCATTAGGTAAACACATTTCTACTGGCCTGTGATACTAGCCTGGGTTGCCAACAACAGTCCTGTTCAGGACCACGATCATGTGGATGATCATGCTCCATCAACTTATAAAATGACTCCTGGGTTCAAACCTTTCACAAAAAGTAGCTTTCTGTTTTTGACATAACCTATCAGAACTTAACGGCGGTAAACACTGCCACCACCCGATTAGTGATGGGGCAATTTTAAAACATCTCTGTTCACACTTACACTAAGGTCAGGGAGGGCCATAGGATGACTTGAACCTTGCATAGATTCCTTGCTTTGAAGTGGGGATTGCACTGCCGCCTGTGATCCCTTCAGGGGCTCCAAGAAATCCTTAACCCAAAAGGAAAAAAAAGGAAAAAAATAAATCATCACTTAGTAACTCTTTATGCAAAAGGGAAAAAAAACAGTCTTTGGTGCTTTTTTAACCACTGGAAACTGCAACTTTGGAAAAGAAAGCCATGGTCCTCTAATTCTAAAACAAGAGACGGTTAGAAGACCTCATTACTTAGTGAGCTCATGAACATTGTAAGAATGTAAAGAGCTTACAGGAAATGATCCTGTGACTCTAAATACCTAATATACAGTATTGTGAGAAAATACAAAATGTATAATAAGTTAGCCCGAACTTACCAATCCAGATGTAAACTGTGGCATTTTGCTCACTGGGGCAGGCATCAACAGTGCTCCAGGCTGTGAATAGATCCCACACATTACAATTAATTAATGTTATACCACAGAAGTGACCGTACACTACCTGTATAATTAACTGGCTGCCTTGCTAAATCGAGGGTGGGTGCCTGGGGCATCCAAAGGGCTCCCCTGTAGCAAGCCAGCAGCTAGATAAAATCTGCCCCCATGGCTGGCAAATCCCTGCAGACCAGCCATGAGCTCCCATTCCCACGCATCACACTGATGAATCAGTGGAAGGGGGACATAGAATGAATATAAACCGCTCAAAGACATCACAGCCGCTATGAAAACCACTAAAGAAACTTGACAATCCTGATTGTGACAAAGCAACAACATTCCATGTTGGCCTGCACTTGTGAATTTGACTGCTGACCGGCCGAGACTCTTAAGCTCATAGTGGTTATCTTTGTTATATTTTTCATTTAACTGAATCATATGAGAGTGGTATGATATATATGTTAATTGATACATGCATGTGCAAAATGAGAAAGATATACATGTATGGGATAATCTAGGTTATCTGGTGTCAACGTGAGATCCAACTTGGCATTTTTATCACTACTTAGTTTCGTACCACACCGCATGTGCGGCACTCCTCAGATAAAACTGCCAACAAAAAGTTTGTTATAACGCAAACTACGACTATAAACGCGCACTCGAATTTGAATAAAAAAACTAATGCATGGCCATGGAAAATGTAAAGCTGCTGAGAAGAAATTTGCATGCATGCCTGCAGAAAGTTACAAGCTCGCCAGATTGAGTCTGCAAATGATAAAATATGTGGGATAGGTGTATGATATTGTGATTTTTCTTTATTATGTCAATCATCTTGATAATGAAGATGAGACTCAATAATCTTATGACTAGTAACTTACTTGTCCTCCTCCAAAAGGTGGGAACTGTGATGACACTATTGGCTTTAACATTGACCCCACCTAGGATGAAAAAGGTTTTGGAGGGTTACTCTGCCATGAAGGAGAGGTTTGCTAATGTACCTGGTGGTACTTTCCTACAGTATGGTGCTATTTATATTTTTGTCATGAAATGAATGAATTTATTGCAGGTGGTGGTGGGGGTAATGCTTATCTCTGAGCTGCACTGCATATTTTCATTGGATTTTAATGGATATTAGGCAGATTTACAAAATGAAAATGCCGTGGCAGTGATAACAGCATACACAGTTCTAACAATGATTTTGAACAATGGCAAGTGGAAAATCAATCACTGAAAGTAGGATTCACTACTTTCTGTGGACCTTTAATTTCGAATTTTCCATTGTGATGTTGTTTCTAAATCTGTCTATCTTTGTACTTGGCAGCCTTAAGGTGAAAAGGACTGATAATGTAACATAACTATCGAAAGATTAATACATTTAGTTAATTAATCACTCAATTAATAAGAATTGATTGTTGATATTACTACTTAAGAGTTAATGATAATTATTTTTTAAAGATGCACTTGCGAGTAAATAGTGAGTTTATGCAACAAGACAGTTGAGGATGAAAGAAGAGGATGGCAAAACACTTGTGTGTGACAAACATGACCGGCCAATTACTTATGTGTTTTGTGGTGATCTTCACTTAAGTTAATGTGTTCTGGTCTTTTACAAAAAGACCCGTTTAAAGGAGGGTGAAGTTCGGCGGACAAGTTTTTCAAACAAAATTATTGTCATGCTTGTCACACAAGGTTTATCGTCTTCTTTCCTCTCCCGTCCTGTTGCGTAAGCTCACTTATTATTACCTGAAGAGGGGGAGGTCTCTCTGGGCAGATACAAAGAGACAAAAACTTCTTGTGCTGGCTAAAAGAATTAGACCAGCTGAACAGAATTTGGCCTTCATTTTCTGCATGTTCAAGATGTTGCCATAGTTCTTTGTTGCTGAAGCAAAAAATATTATATATATCTTACATGTAAGAAAATGAACACTTTCTATGTATAAAGTAGGTACAGCATCAACCTGAAACACAGTCAAAATAATTTTATTGACTACCACAGAAACATTATGTAAAAGCTAGTGTCTCCTTTTCAGGGCTCAAAAAAGGGCCTTCTGGTTGTCTGGGACATAAACAAGTAGAATTTCCTGCCAGGCAAATGACTTTTCATTTTCACTTGAAAAATGCTAATGGTAACTCAAGTCGTCTATTTCAGGGGGAGTATCCATCCTATAGAAATGCCTATTAACCCTTTAAGCCCAAATATCCACATACAAATTCTCCAAACTGATCTCTATACATTTCCTTTAAGAATTAGTTAAGAGATAAAAGATCAAAGTATTTTCTCTGAGGTGATCATTTTATTAATTCTCATAACCTAATCTCATGACAATGTATGGATATTGGTAGGAGAAATTTGCTGTTGGTCACTATTGGGACTTAAAGGGTTAACATAGACCTCATTGTGTTCATAGCTTAAGCAGTTAAAACAATGTAAACTTCCTGAAAGGAAGGGAGGGGGAACTGACTGGGATGATCAAAGGATTTTTGGGGGCTTGAAGTTTTCCATATTTTTAGGAACTTTTTGGGCAGGAAAATTGATTTAAGTAGGTTCTGGGGGGGGGGGGGTGGGGGGGGGGGGGTATTTAAACTAATCTAAAGTGTAGTGCCGCATGCCTTAGCCAGCATTGCAATAAAAAAACACAAACATTCAATTTCTGTTTATTTTTGGCATGCTATATACTTTTAGTTCTTTATGGAAAAATTTTATGGCTCAGTAATACAGCATAGGATTTCTTATAGGTTAACTTTTGGTTAAGGGGATTTTTTGGGTTTTTTCGAGGCCCTAGGGATTATTTTGGGTATTGATTTTGCCCCCTTTTGATTAACTCCATCACTTTAACTCTGGAGTAGCCCCCCTCCCCTCTTTCAGGGGTAAACCTCTTTGCTTCACTAGTCAAAGCTACTGACAGCTTTCATTACTCTTCAAACAGGCAACTTACCTGTGTAAACTTTTTCCAATGCGAGAGGATAAAATGGTACACTGTGAATTGAACTTGTTTTTCAATTCTGAGGTAAAACACACAGAAATCGAATCTCTCGCCTGCTTGATCACAAAATTGATGCCAGGGCTGAAATGTTGCAATATTTCTGTTTTTTGTTGCTTTATGCTTGTGTTTTTGTCAGTGGAAGCACCTAAACTAGCTGTCAAATTAGAGTTAGAGCTTGAGAATGAAGCAAAACCACCAGACTTGTTTTCCTTTCCATGACTGAAATCCCCAAAGTCATCATCAGTTTGTTTAGCAGTACTTAAATTCTTTGATTTGGAGTCAAATGTACCAAATTCATTTGTTTGGATGTTTTGCTTCAGTTCGCCTTTGGTACTGGAAGCTTTAAAACCTTCAAATTTTTGTTCTGAAACTCTTTCTTCTGCTGTCTCAAAACCACCAAAATCTCCAAAATCATCATCACCACCATCCTTTTTAATGGAATCCTGGGACTTAAATGCACCAAAATCTCCAAAGCCAGACTGGGCATCTTGTCCAAAATCCTTGGTATTTGATTCAAAACTTCCAAAATCCCCAAAGTTGTCACCATTTTCATTATGACTTTCAGAATCTTTGGCATTTGTCTCAAAACTTCCAAAATCTCCATTGAAGTCATCTGTATTTTTATTCTGACTTTCAGAATCTTTTGAGTTTGCTTCAAAACTTCCAAAATCTCCAAAATCATCAGTATTTTCATCCTTCTCCTGAACACTTTTGGTTTTTGATTCATTACCATCAAAACCTCCAAAGTCATCATTACATTGACCATTATTTAGAGAATTTTCTACACTTGACTCAAAAGTTCCAAAATCTCCAAAGTCATTTGACCTTTCATTGTCTTTTTGAAAATCTTTGATATTTGACTCAAAACTGCCAAAAGTCTCAGTGTTAGCACTACTGCCACAGCACCCTTTTTGAAAATTCATGACACTTGATCTAAATGAATCAAAATCTCCAAAATCATCACTGTTTTGACCTTCAGTTTTGATTGGTTTTTCTTCTAAATCCGAAGCACTAAAACTCCCAATGCTGTTATTCTGGTCCTTATCCTCACAAGTATCACTGCTGAATGAATCAAACACACCAAAACCTCCAAAATCATCTTTATCCTTTTCTTGATTAGACAGAGATTTGGGCTCGGAATCAACACTGCCAGTTCTTTCTTCTTTTTCACTGTGGTTTACTTCAAATGCACCAAAATCTCCAAAATCATTATCAGTGTCCTTATCCTGTATAGATGATGCTTTAGCACCAAAAGGATCATTATTAACCATTGATTCAGTTAGTTTGGCATCAACTGTAATGGAATCACTTGATGTCTCATCTTTTTTACCATGTTTCTTTTCAAAAGAGCCAAAATCCCCAAAATCATCATCATCATCACTATAACATTTATTTCTTGTGGATGCAGTTCCAACAAATGAAGAATCACCCTTCACAACTTCGTCATTCTCCCCTTCAGGTGCTACTGGTGAAATGTCTTTTTGCACAAATTCATTATGACCACTAAATTGTTGTAAAGGCATGTCATTAAAGTCAGTAAATTCTCCAAAATCATCGCTGTTACACAGTTCAGAAGGTTCTGGCGATAACTTGGCTGGATCCTTTTCAAGGGTGGTATAGTTCTGTGAGTCCACAGTGTTGCACTTTTTCCCAGTTAGCTGTTCCCCATTAGTAGATTGTTTTATCCTAGTGCTTTCATAAGAAACACAATTAATATGAGCTCCTTCCTCACTGTCAGCCAATACAGTTGTAGGGATTTCACTACTGGTCACTTCTGCCGACAAGCTATCCAGCTGTCTTGATTCTTGATCTCCATGATTACTACCAACAAAACCTAAAAATCTCTCTGAGGACGCATTTGAAGCAGTGTCCTTCTCTGTTTTGAACTCTTTGCTCTGTTCAGACAATGATTCCTTTAGAATGTCACAGTCCTTTTTACTATCGTCATGAAACAATGCCTTTGTATTGACATCCATGGTTGAATCTCCATGATGGGCAACCGATCTGTTATCAGCTGTTTCACCATTGTCAGCATCTTTCACTGCAGTCACTCCAGCGTTGGTGATAGCATTCTCTGTGGTTGCAAAATCACCAAAGTCATCATCAGATTCTAAATCATAACTGCCATTAATGTTATTATTTGTAGGTGCACTTCTATTAACCCAATCACTGTCTGAATTTCCCTGGTGAGAACTCCCATTAGGTAAGCTTTCCTGTATATTTACACTGTCTTCATTTGCCTGAAAAGCAGCAAAGTCGGAGTCATCGACACCATTTTCCACATTATTAGAAGGACCTTGTTGGCTGCTTTTTGCATCCCAAGATTGGAGAGATTTTTCACTATTGTCATCACTAGTGAACCAGTCTTGCGATTCGCCACTGCCATTGCCTTGTCCAAAAGCTGAGCCAAAATCCGCAAAACTAGCAAAGTCCCCAAAATCTGACTCTTCGTCGCCTTCTTCCGTGTCGTGTTCATTTTTGCCCTTTAGAACACTGCCACCTAATTTTGATTTCTCCGTGAATTTTTCTTCGCTTGACTGGGTCTTCTTCACCGGCGATGCAACAGGTTTCTCGCCATACTTCTTTGATTTGTTTACATCGTTTCGGAAAACGATTTCATTGTCATCTTCGTCGAATGTGTCGTCAAGAGGCGGCGGAGCATCTGCAAGGACAGTGGAGAAATTCGATCCATACAGGTCCGAGTTATTCACTCCGTAATACCAAGCCATTAATAGCTGAATAAACTACTCGCCGGGAAGACAGATTTCTCGCGATATTTTGGTTTCTACTCCTTTCAAATTTTCCTGGTTGAGGAATTTCATTTTGTTGAGTATACCCTTGCCTATGTCACAATATTAATATTGCTCTTGGGTTCTTCAGCCACAGTTGAGGAAATACATGTATAACTGGCAAGAATTTTGAAACAGCGGCACAGTGATAGTCTTCTACGGTCCTATTTTCCACGGTTCGCTTGTATGCTATTCAAGTTAATCCCACTCGTAACTTCAAACAGCATCAGTCAAGGGAAAACAAATTATTTTATCGCCACTTACTCAAAGAGATACTACCGGTTGATCAAGCGCCATTTTCTTGTCCCGTGATGCCTCGCTTTCATTCACAGCCTCAGGAACCTGAGAAAGCCTTGGGGGAGTAGGGTGGGTGTGTCTTATTGTTCGCCAAAACCTATATCGCCATAACAAACAATCCCAAAAGAAGCACGAAAGATTTTCTCCAGATCATAAAGTAACGTTTGTGGGCTGAGTCCCAGTTCATGCTGCCTGCGAATGCAGACGAATTTCCAGTCATCACTTCTCTCCTGGTTCTTAAGAGCTAAACTGTGATTGGCTAATTATGTCCTACGTCACAGAAATCATTTGGCGGCTCGGGTTCACAGACTTTATTTTGTGTCAACCGGAAATACATCTGCTTTCACAGGCTACAGTTCATGGGACTCAAATCCTGCTCTCCAAGCCCCAAAAAATGAAAACAGGGAGACCTTTACCCTAACATTTGGGAAGGGCACTTTCATGTGCTTGGAAGTAGTGGGGACAAGAAATGACGGGTACGCGACAGAGAGAGACAAGGGAGGGGAGAGAAAGCCTCTTGTGCGCCTGTTCTCTCTTGCGCCCACTAATTCCAAGTGCCTGCTACGCAGGCTAGGGACAGAGATGTCTGTGGTCTCGCTTAGTGTTCAGTTCAAAATGCCAATGCTTTTTCCCATACAAATTTTGCCAAGGGCTGTGCATTAAAATAATTTTAAGAGGAGAAAATTTAAATAAAAAAAGGAAAGGAAAAGAAAAAAAGAACAAGACCAAGAATGATTCAGTTGAGACATCTTTATTGAAATATTAAACTATATGCTGTAGCTCTATCTATCTTAAAAGTTAGTTAAAGGTCATGAGTACATAAATTTTTGGACACAAGCAGAATGCACACATCTTAATTAGGTCAGTTTAAATTTAAGGTATCAAACTTAAAGAATTAAAATATTTAATGAAAAAGGTTAGTCAAACAAAAACAAAGAATAATTCTGGTCACATGGGATTATTGTCCCATGTGACGAAATGCAAACTATGCTTTCATTTTATACTTATTCTTATGTAAGGACTGTTTAGATAGCAAAAAAATAGAACTAGACAGGTTATTTCTTCACTGTTGTGACAACTTTCTTTGTAACCATTTTGCTCCTCCAGTTTAAAGCAAAAGCTATTCAAAAATATTAGAAGGAAAGATTGAACTAGATATTTGTGTAAAATTTGGTGTTCAAAAGCTCTAATATTTATTATATAATGTGTACAAACTGACTAAAACACAATGTCCAGCTACCAATAAATTAGCTTGTTGGTTCAGTTGGTTGGATCACTGCACCAGTATTAAAGAGATCAAGGGTTCTAATCCTGTGCAAGCCTGGGTTTTCACAGGCTTTCTTTTCAAAACTGCAAAAAAAAGCGATGATCCTCTTTACATCTCTAATAGGTGATAAAACTAAAACCGAAGAAGGATTTACCTGCAGACAGTACTGTTTTGGCCTTCTGGGCCTCATCAGTGCAGTGCTGATGCTAGAATGGAGGTTAAGCTATAAAGCCAACCCAAATGATCCCAAAAATGTGGTATCATCTTAGCCATTCCAGAGTCCTCCAACTAGCAAACTAGTATATATATATTTATTTTTTATTTTGAAATTTAACAACCATAAATGTCACCTGCAAACAAAGAAATGTTTTGTATCTTGGATAAATGAGATTGCATTGCACTGATTTTAGCTACAGTTGATCCTCTATTAAGTGGCAACCTTTTAAGCGACTTCCCTCGAAAGTCCCATAATTGTAGAAAAGAATGAGAAATTAAACTTCTATTAAGTGGCCACCACCATTCACTGACCGCTGCCACCTTTTGGCTATCCCAAAGAGAACTCTCCATAGTTGTAACCCCTATTTAGAGGCCACCAAGTGCTTATTACACAACAGTTTGGCCTCACTTTAAGAATATGATGAAGAAAAATACAGTCCGAGATAGAAGGTGATGACCAATTGTGAACCAGTAATGCTTTTCCCATCAGACATTTGTTTCAAAATAAGGTGATGTTTCTGCCAAAAAAGATGCTAATTTATGACAACCCTCTGCCCAACAGCCATTAGGCAGCCACTTGCCGATACCCCAAGGGTGGCCACTTTATAGAGGTTCAACTCTATATAGCTGAGTACGTCCTGTTGTAAATATTGATTTGACAAAATAAGTTGGCCAGTGTTACACACAGGTGTTGGTCTGCAAGTTGAAGTAAAAGTAGAGGCATGCTTTACATCCTGGCGTCAGATCTCTAAACAGTTCCTGGACCTGACTAGATGACATACCCTTTTGGAATTCCTGTAGAAAGAGATATGCAACAAAATGCCACATTAACATTTATGAAAATGCAACAAATTACCCAAATCTCGAAATGTGAGGAAAAACACATCTTTTTTAAAGATTCTCTGTAGATTACAAATGCAAAGAGTCTTTAATGGAGGCTTACCACTAAATCAACCAGTAGTAACTCCGAGGACTCATAAGCTTCTGGGCCTCCCTTGTTGTACAGCTGTTTGATTTCCTCACCACTTAAGGAGCACCTTAAGAAAAACCAGACAGTTACACATGGGCCACACCCACTTTGAATGATGGTAGCTTATATAACCCAGCTATGTAGAGAACCTGTAAGTGACCTCGCAGTATTTGGTGGTCACTTATAGAAGGTATTTTATTTCCCCAGCAAAGGCCGCTGCTGCAAGCTAATTCAAGCTCAGTACCAAAAATAGAAAGGTGGGCTACTATATCATTAATACATGTAGCACAGGCACAGAACAGGGGTGCACCTGGTAAATTTTGGATAGGTGTGTGCCTCAAAGTTCTTAAACCTAGCTTGTATCAATAAATTAAAAGAGAATAAATTTGAAATTCAATTGAAAACCTAGTAATGCCCAGAAACAAATCAAAGGATGCCTATGGCTAACTCACGGATTAATCATTTTTAAAAATGAAAGCCAATAATGAACTTGTAGTTAGTCTACCCATGTTATTTAAGTCTATCAAAAAATGAAAATATGTAAAAAAAAACTAAACTAAACTAAACTAAGAAAACAAAACCAAAACGACCAAAAAGAAAAAGAAAAAAAAAGTTTCCTCCAGTGGGAGTCAAGACCTAGACAATTAACATGTGAGGTCATAGCAATATCAGATATTGCTATGACCTAGATTCTATTGTGCCACAGCATCAAGCGTTGAACATTTGTGTCAAATTAATTATCTTTAACTGCAGGTAGATGCTGTTTAAATCTAGTAGAGCTTTATTTATGAAGAATTCAAAGATATATATGAGGAAAATAAGCAGGGTTTTGACGGTAAAAGCTGTACTTGAACTCATTTCATCGCATTTGAAATGGCTTACAAAGCAAAACTATCGCAAAGTCTCTTGCTAGCGGCATTGTACTGCATTAACATGAGAAGAATCAATTACGATTCAGCAACAAAGAAACATTTCATTTTAGAATGTTCCCAAAAAGCAGTGAGATTTGTAGTAAGGCCGTGAGATAAGTTAAAAAATCATGAGCTTGGACCACTTTATTGCTAATCTCTTCATCATGTTTATCACCTGGACAAGTCAAAAAGCTTCAAAAGTTCACTAACTTCTGTCTCAAAGTTGGCTATAGTGCTAATTTGAAACATTCAAAGTCCACATGAAGACAACATCATCCTATGGAAGCTACAAAATCATAACATCGAAGGCTCTGGGCACAGTGCACACTCAGCACTTCTTTATCATGGGGACGTTTGGGAATGTTCGATCTGTGACAATTGTCGTTTTGATATTGGACACTTTTGTGTGAGCCGACTAATTACTAACAAAGTGTCCACACCTGAGCTACACATTTGCATATCACAATGCCCATAACAATTCGTTCCTTACGCTACGTTTAATCCACAAGTTAAAAATGAAACCCTACATAAGGGAAAACTGATAATGCAAAATGGACCTTAAACAAGTGTTTTTTTTGTGCTCTTCACATGGGAATTGACAGAAAATAGGATTTTAGAGTAAATCTTTTGTAGTTGAATCATTTTCCTTGCATGTCAAGCAGGTTTTAATATGTTCTTTACAGTGGCTCAGCCTCTGTGCTTTTAGGTACCCTATCAAAGGACCACAACTCATCAACACCAAGAAGGATACTTACCCTCTACATATATTTTAAGGATTAAGCACCTCAAAAAGCCTACCATATCCTGTGGTTCATACCTATTATAGTCCCCCATGCCCATGACTACAGATAAACTAGATAATATTGTTGCTAATATTTATTTAGAATCACATTTCAACCCTGTACCTGATTTTGAAGCATGCTCCTGGTTTATTTGCAGTCATATGATTCCTGTGTATACCTATTAGCAGTGGCCAGTCAAGATATTTTTCTGGGATATTTACCTAAAATATGCAAATATCAACTTCATCTTTACTCAAAAATAAACATTTTACAATAGACTGGCCCACACATAGCAGTTCCTAATCTACACGGGCCAAGTTTAAAAAGTTAAAGGGAAGGAAATACAATAATTTTTTTAAATACAGTATTATTGCAAGTACAGAGATAGCTTCATTATTATAAATTTATTACACTGAAGCACTGAGACATGACATGGAAGAAATTAGATACCACATAAATCCATTTATGGACTTTAAAGTTACTTAATTTACTTTACACATAACCATTGGCATCTCAAAGGAGTCTTAGTATGAATACTGAAGCAAACCATTGAAAGGCAAATAATAAGAACCACAAGAGCACCAGTTAAAATGCTGAACCTAGGCTGCTTCAAAAAGAACCTCCCACAGGTCTTGTATTTGGGAGTAATTGAAGGGTTTCCTGAAAAAAGGGCATAATTTGCTTATCAATAATAAGCAAATGTTTACGCACTTTTTCTTATTGTCCTCAAAATTAACATAAAATAGACCATACTGTAATGGAAGTGTACCAAGCAAGCCAACATTTTCATGAATTTTTTACAGTTAGATCAGATTCTCCATGAATGTTGTGCTTTTTTATAAAAAGTAATGAGCTTCAGTATAAACCATGCTAAACACCATTTTTAGCAAAGTGTAAAGTTATTTGCTGTGGTGTTTGAAGTTGGCAGCTTCATAGGATTATAATGTCACAAAAAATTGTCATTAGCCCAGTAATATCATGATTTAAACATTATAAACTTGCTGACACAATTTTCCCTTCAAATTAATAACACTGATCGTATTTTGGCATGCAAATTGCCCTCTCATAAGAAGCCCCTTTGTATATACCCCTCTACATGTAAGTCCAACAAAAAAAACCTTTGAAAAATACATTTTCTGGGGCTTATTTTCAGAATTTTATGGTGTAGCAGTAGTTGCTATCTAATAAAACGGTAGTAAATCTTTGAAAAGACACAAAATGACATTTCAAATTTGGCTTGCCCAAACAGAAAAACAAACTTTCAACAAAGATGTGACCATAGATCAACTTACAGTCACAAGCAATCTGATGCACACTGCACTTACTTCATCTCTAACTTCTCTCACAATGGAGTGAAACAACTCATATACAACTGCTTTTTCATCCATGTCATCTAAATCAACTGATCTGTTCTTGTCAAACTTGCTGTTTTGAAGTTTAACTTCCTGAAAAAAGATTGGCGGAATTAGGATAGGCTGACAGGTTCTGTGATGACAAGTGCAATGGGTGTTTCAATATATAATTTATGCGTGACCCTATGCATGTGATATTAGTGAAAGGTCCAGGGGCATCCTCAGAGACCCAGGGACTGTCAGCATGCTGGAAAATGCTTGCTGTGCCTTTTCTCCCAACTGAATGCTGTGGATCTTTGAGGATAGTCTAGGGGAGGCAAAAAAGTAAAAAACCCATCCCCTTGAGCCCTTCTCATCACAATTTCTTAATGAACAAGAGTCCCCTTCCCTCAAAGACTAGTCTCAGCAACTGGACTTCATGTCACACAGGTAAGGCAGACCAACATGGTGACAAGAACAACCCCAAACATTTTCACCTCTTGGCTTGTCTTCATTGCCACCTCATGGGAAATACAAAGTGTTTTTGTTGATGAAACATGTCCTAATGTTCATGCTTGTATCGTCTGCATTTCCATGTGGACAAAATGGCATGAATATAGGCATGAGGAAATCTACCCATCTATCCTCTGCCCTTTTCCCAGTAGGCGTATTTTGCAGAACACCAAATGGCTGCTGAATGCCAAATGACTCTGAAGTTTAATGATTAGGGTTAGGAAACTGAGTGAATCAAGTTCCATTTAGGGTCATTATACTGGGCAAAATGACCCGAAACTTGACTCGCTAAGTTTCTTAACCATTATCACTTAACTACAAAGTCATGAGAAGTTTGGTGGCCATTGGGCAATCTGCAAAATACCCCACCCCCCTCGTCCCTACATACACTTGGTTCTGCATGTCCTCCTGGTGTGTCCAAGCGCCCAGGGTCTTCATAAACTTGATGACTTCTTCTGATAAAAACTAACTTACTGTCACTTGTTTCGACAACAGATCCAACTCCTAACGCATCAGAAAAACAAGCATGTTCGTTGGCATATTCCGATTTCCCAAATTCATTCAAAAATATCCTTTGACTGTTGTTCATATTTGTGCAAACATAATCTCTATAACACGTTTGTCCTAAAAGCAAAGTCACTGGTTTCCCATCCTCGTGGCCTACGCCAAAAAGACGAAACTTCGATCCGTTGAAAAGGAATGGATTTTTTTCTCTACGTAACGCCCATGTCTTTTCTATCTCAGATTCAAACTGTTCATTACATGGCTTCCTGTCGTAATCGTGCGACAATAAAATTGCCACGTTTGTGTCCTTTGCCCCACCGGAAGAGACGAACTCTACGTGATTTCCACTGTTGAAAATCTCAGTAAAATGTCCTTCATCCCTGCATTTTTCCACGAAGGCTTTCATTTCCATTTTTGAGCGGATGATAAACGCATGGAGGGTCAATAAATCTGATCTTTAACCGTCACTGAAAACCGTGTAGACCCCTGAGACTGCCGCCATGTTGCCCAGAAAAATGCTGTAATATAAGCTGAGGTGTGATTGGTCAATGTAGCGCACTAGAGCCAATCAAATTAGCCGTAAGAAACACAGTTGACTCCTTGGTATTTGAAACCAGCAGTTACACCCAAAAGTACCATGACAACTAAACAGCGCGCGTAACAAAAATCACAGAGAAGAGCATACAAGCGAAGGTTTGCTTTCTTGTTCGGCTGATTTTTCTCCAAAATATGGACGCAGAAGGTCTTCATATGGCGGTTGACTACGTGGGAAGCAGTGGTGTTATTCTTAGTACAGAACAGAAAGCAGCCTTACAGTCATCGCTGGTTATTTTGAAAAGCAACTACAAGTTTCGTGGAGTGAAATTTTGGGGCAAAATTCTTGGGGTGAAGAGCGATTACTTTATTGTGCAGGGAGTTGGTAAAGATGAACTGAAGGATAGAAAAACACTATACAGGTAAATTGTATTCGAAATCTAGTGAAAAGTCCTGTGGAGACTGACTGACAAATATTGCACAAATTGTTCCTTTAAAGATAAGCTTACAGATCGAAGTTAATTGTATTTATTTATTTATATGTTATAATTCACAAAGTTTTCCCATCACTGTGAATGCAAAGGTTTCTGATGGGAAATTTATGAAGACTTCTGTCGAATGAATCTGATGGTATTATCCCCCCCCCCACCTCCGGCTCTCTTATGAATGAAGAATTACACATGTACAGTAGGCAGATCTCAGAGGGTGTTATCTGCTGAGGCTAAAATCATCCTTCCAGACCCTGCCTAATTCTCAATATCAAGGCAAATCCAAAGCTATTTCTTTTTTTGCTAAACTTGTGAAATTTTCTGCCATTTTCTCCTTCTCTACCAAAACAGCCAAGCCGTCACAGTCAATCTTAGTCCCCAGAGGCTTCTTGGTTTTCCAACCCTATTTCTGTCATTATTCTGTACAATTACCATTATCTGTACCAATATCGCAAGTCCCTTCCAAGTTTGCTCAATGCTACAACCAGTTGCAAAAGTACTTGAAACACTGTACCGTATTTTGGTATTTATAAATGGCCTGTCCATAATCTTGTGCTTGTGATCCCCCCTCCACCCCTTATCAAAGTTGCTAGCAATACAAGACCATGCTCAAAACTCTGAGGAACAACTTTGAATTATACAACTTATACATTGTCCGTGACTGTGCTCACATGGTGGGTGGCTCCTCCTAAAATGTTCTGCAATTGGTATATAGGATTTAATGGAGCCGACACCAATAATTATTGTGGAATTGCACGCATTTTAGGCATCCTACTGATGAACAGTTGCGACATGTAGATATATATTTTTTAGCAACTAAGATAATTTGCAGTCTGTCTACTTTGATTTGAATGTGAGAGAGAGGAGGGAGCTTGGTATTATATATCACAGACCTGTGACTAGCAGCATTTTGAAGCAAGAAAGGTCGTTTTTTTTGCGGGAGTGTCTCAGCATTTTTGCTGCTGGTTGTAGCTCATTTTGAAGAATTAACTTTGGTATTGAGCCAATCAGAAATAGAGAAATATTTTGAATGAATATTTACAATTTGCAATTATTGTTTTTGTGATAGTCAAGACTGTGTACACTGGGGTTTACTGCCAGTAGTTACAGAAAGCATGAGACACAACAGTTCCTTTGTGAAGGGACGTTTCACTGGTGACCCGTCTTACGAATATGAACACACTGAGACAAAGAGAGTGGAAAGCCAAGATGGAGATAGAGTTGAAGGAGCTGAGGAGGAGAATATTGTAAGTATTACTTTGGAGCCTTTCTATTAAATTGGGTGCATGCACAATTAATGTTTCTGTTTTTTTTTTTTTCCACATCAATTTTTTTGGAATTCAAACTACTGAATGCACAAACTTTCTCTTGGATCTCGGAGGTGATATGAGCTATTTAAAGTAGTTTGACTTAAGATGTGGTGGTTGTTGTTTCATTTCCTTATCATTGCTGCTATCATGTTGATTCTCTTAGAATGACAAGAACATTGCTCCAAATTCTCTCAATTTTGTTAGAAATGTCTGAGGCTTTCATAGCTATTATTTTTCACTCTATGAATCAAGAACTTTAATGGTTTGACATCATTTTTATTAATAAGTGTGTAGTTCAGTCTGTCAAACAGACACCAGTGGTTCAGTCCTTGTGATGGAATATGAAATGAAGCAGTGTACTGTTCTCATATTACAAAAACATCGGCTGATAGGCCCCTGTAATATTCATGGTTTATATGAGTTATGTTACCTTGGGATTTTATCGTTTTTTATTCATAGATAATGGTGAAAGAGGAGGACAGGCTTGCAACAACTATTGAAGCTATAGACTATGATGTCAGGATAGTACCCAGAGGTGCATACTTTAGAACAGCTCTTGGCACGGTGGAGGTGAACAGAAGTTTTGAAGGTGTGTATAAATGAGACTTGTCTACCCTATTGTTTTCTCAGTTGAGTGGTATATAAGCTCGCAACAGCTTACAGAACAGGGATTTTGTCTGTGTGGAGCTAAAGAGTGCATGAAAAGAAGGTATAAAATACAGCAAATACAAATTTTATTTTTGTTGTTTGTAACACTTGATATATATTAAATACTTGGGAGACAAATATATTTGCTTAACAAGGAGCTCTGATTTTGTGTTTGGCAAGCAATTTTTCGAGCTCCATAGCAAGTAAGGATGCACAATTGGCATTCTCAACAAAATGAACTAGACCTGACACAGCCCCTTTAATCATTAAATAATATTGTTATAAATTATCCCATATCCATCAGGTTTGTCAGTAGCTGATTCAGGCAAGCTTTCCAGTTATTTCCACTTCAGAGAACCATTTCTTCTAACCCAGAAGACTCTTCTTCAAAAGGTATGGTACTAAAATGTAAACATACGACTTTTGAGAGAATACTATTATTATACTATGATTTATACCAAACCCAAACAATGCTTACTGCAAAAAAACCCTTTTATAAATTCTATTAGTATCCATGACTTATAAAAGGGTGTTATAAGAACATGTTCATTACACAAAATAGCGCAAAATAAATGGAGGGATCAATGCAGTGTTGATTAGACCACAGCACAAAATAGATGTGCTTGATTAATCAACGCAATGACAGAAATTGACACCCACCAATGAACAAGAAACAAGGCGAGGTGGAAGAGCTGGGAAGAACCCAAAAGTGGTGGCATGCGACAGAAAGTGTTGGTCAGAGAACGTGATGGCCTTATGCGCCCTCTAACATAATGAAAACGGATAATGATGTTGATGATGATGATATTACTTTTGTCATAAACATAAATGAATTAAATCAATGTGGATTTTTTATAAAATCACTTTGCAATTTTTTTGCTTTGTCCTTTAACAGGCTGAGCTGGATAAAGCTGTTGATTTTCTTGATCCTATTGACACTGATGTGCCGAAAGGAGGTGAAAGCTGCTTTACATTTTTAATTTCCTTTTTTATAACTATAAACTTTTAGTCATCAGAGACTTTGTCACTTTGGTTGGAACTTAATTAATCAAAATTTAGACAGACCATTTGCCCATTTCCCTAGATTATTAGTAGCCAGCAAGCAAGCTCTAGGCGATCCACTCCAGGGTGCTCTGGCGATGGGGCGGGAACAGGAACAAGAGCTTGCAACTACGTCTCTGGAAATTGAATATCTGCATCGAAAAAGTCTATGCGAAATGCTGACTGGTGGAGATGACATTAGTATATGACATCATTACCCTTGGCACATTTTTTTTCAATGTTTGTTTACATTCACGCTATTTTCTACTTCACACTGATTGGCGGAAATCTGACAGCTCAGTCGACGGTGAGCCACAGGGGAATTGGAGGTGGAATTCAATTTCCAAAAATGTAGTTACAAGCTCTCCTTCCTTTTCCCACCCCACCAGGGTGGCCCAGAGAGCTTGCTCGAGCTTGCTCGCAGGCTAGATTATTAGTTCCCCATTTGTTTTTTTTTAAAGTTTCAACTCTTCTGATTTCAATTTCCTGGCATCACATTTGCAACTTTTCATTCATATGTTTTCTGTTTATTTGTTTGTTTGTTATGTATATTCGATGGTACTAGAATAATATGTTGTAACTGCGACTCTAACAGTTAAATTTTGAGGTGGATTTGACTATCACTTTCTGTCCCTTCGTAAGGTTACAGGACAGAAGTTATGTAAACAAAATTTTGACTCTTTGTGATTCTTATATGATAAGGAACTAAGTGATATTTAACCTGTCACAGTAGCCTGCGTGCAGACGATGACTAAACTCTGATTAGTACCGTCTGCGCGCAGGCTACTGTCACAGTGGCTGGGGTTATTACAGGTTTATTACTGAAAATAGCTGTCAGACAAGCCGTATAAATGGCTTGTTTCGTGAAACATGAAATGCAGTTTTTACGATTTTAAAACGTGAATGATTTTTTTGGGTACTTTCGCTCACATGATAGAGAACGCAAGAAAGTAAGCCAGGTGTGAAAGCGAAGCGTTTGGAAGGGACGGCTATGCTTTTGCCTGTTTTTTGGCGTTTTACTAGGGAAAAAAATCAATATTTTTCTTGAATTTTATTTGTTGCACCTGACTAACAATGAAAGAGAGAACTGCGAATAAAAGCTACGAGATAACGCGCGAGCGAGTGACAAAGCGTCTCGCTTTTGCGTGCCCCGCCCGCTTGGCCCTCACTAAAGCTAGATAATAATCTAGAAGATATTTAAAGGCTTTTTTCTGTTTGTTGCAGGTTCCTGGAGTATTCAGTTTGAACGTGGTAGTGGCCTTGTCACCCTTCGTAGCCTTCACTGGCTTGGCTTCACTTTTTATCACGTGCCAAGCTCCAGAAAATATGGCTCAGTATACGTGGGTCTTGGAACCAAGAATCTGGACTTGCCTTTTATGCTGTGAAAGCACGCGTTATCAAAAAAACATTTTGTGTAACATAGTGTATTTATAATATCCACTTGAGTGAGGTGCTGTTTGTAACAATTGTATTAATTTCCATTCTGATTTTTAACCAAGGAATGTTTAGCGAGCATCTTGAAGTGAAATAAAAACAGCGTGGAAAAGCAAGCAAGCAATTTGCCGACTTTAATTACACATAAGAAAATCCCTCAAAGTTAGACTCAAACTTACCTAGAACTTGGAAGAAAACTTTTAAAGAAACATTTTATACGATATTCATATCATGCCTTCGAAAAAAAATTAATCAAGAAGCGCCTTTTGAATCCATGAGTATTCCGGATGTAAGCTATATACAGACAGACTAAATATGTCGTAAGAACGAGTTGAAAGATAGGCCAGCATAACTCGCACAGTTTTCCGGTTAAACTCAACAGTATAGATTCCTTTTCACTAGGAGAACGAAACAGGGAATAACACGAGCTAGTGCTTGAGCTAGTGCTTGTGTAATTACATACACTGTTAATATGTCCAAAGCGTAGCCGGTGAGTCGGAGGAAAAGTTTAGTTATTTCAGTGCATTATCTTTTTTACTTGAACTGATATATAACAAGGTAGATTACGAGTAGTCCCCCATTTTTCCTCAGGGATAGTAGAGCAAGCGAGACGCAAGCGCGCGTGAAAATCACCCCACTCGAGAAAAGCAAAACGTGGTGAGGAGAGTGTCGTCTTTTCTCGCGTGAGGTGATTTTTACGCGCGCTCGCGTTTCGCTCGCTTTACTATCCCTGACTACAAATGGGGAACTACTCGTAGTCTAATAATAAGGGTACCTGACAGAAATAGCTTCAATAGCCCGAATCAAAACTTGCAACTAAACATAATGACACGGCTATAAAATACTTTCATACTCAGTTAAACGCTTGTGTCATTACTGAAATCCTTTAAAAAAACTGTACCAGCCCACCAGCCCATGTGTAGCCGCAACCACCCCCCCTCCACCCCCCCCCCCAAAAAAAGAGAGGACGCCATTTTTCCTTCTTAGCGGGGATGTGCTAAGAGAGAACTCCAGGAGCCGATTACTGGATTAATCGGCTCCTGAGAACTCTCATTACAAAGGGGCCGTTTACGATCTAGTGTTTTTTTTTGTGTGTGTATTTTCACAAGGGCGAAAAAACTCTTTTTTCCTTCTTATACCGAATTGGCATGGGTAGTAATCGGTTCCTGAGAAACACCATTACAAAGGGGCCGTTTACTATTTAGTGTTTTTTTTGGTGTGTGTATTTTCACAAGGGCGAAAAAGCTCTTTTTTCCTTCTTATACCGAATTGGCATGGGCCTCCCTTCCAAATCGCATAGCCTGCGTAGCAGGCGCAAAACAAGAGAGTTCTCTTGCAATAAAGGAATATGGGCACGAGACAAAACGGGGCACACGCAGGAGCCCAATTTATGGGTTATGGGCTCCTGGCACACGCGAGTCTCCCTCGCGCGTCCTTTTTTCTTGCGCCCGTTTTTTCTTTCTCTCTGCGCTGCGTTCTTTCTAGCCTGCGACCGCAGAGCTATGGCGGTCGCGGGACAATTCTTTCTTGTGCCTGCTAATGAGATGGGTTGGCCAAATTTGCATGGTTACTTTCCGGTCCCTCCTTTTCTTTTCACTACAGGAAATCCATGCTGGATACCTGTGGTTGATTGGCACAGTGCTATAAAACGTGTGACCTCTTTAAATTCCACGGAAATTAAGGGGATGAGTTTGGTGAGGTCGTCACATTAATACAGGAAGAGGCTTTTAGCATGATTACCATAAACCGCAATCAGAAAAATCATATCCGATCAGATAAACATGTAAAAAGCGTTGAGGTCGAGAACCTGGGGGCACATATGGCAATGCGCCCAGATTAAAAACAGACTGTTAAAGTCTGTAAAAAGAGACATCAAAGAGACATTTTCATGTTTGAAAATCATGAAAGAAGAGGAAGGGCAATATGGTCTAGACTGGCAGTCTAGAAGTACTCTTTATATCATATATACGTTTTTCTTTAAGTCCATGGAAAAGTTAGAAGTTACTAATTAAAAGTCTTAATATTTACAGGCAAATTTCAAACGTTTAGGGCTTGGCCAGCCCTCATCAGTAAAGCCTGAAGCAGTTCATTCATGCGCAGCAGGACCGGAGTTCAGGTCAGCTATAGTCTACGTACGTACGACTATGCCGGGGTACTTCTGCTTAACTGATATGTACCGCGCGGACGTGGACTTTCGTGGCCTGTAACGTTCATTTCAAACCTTCTTTCCCCGCTTTGTATAACTTTTTCCAGGCTCCAATGCTGTAGTAGTGCATTTCGTGCATCCCCGAATTGCGCGAGTCTTAATTTTCGCTTGCTTGGCTTGATTTACAGAATTAAGAACCCCTATAACTCGACTAGGGTCGGATAGCTGGAACTCCCCGCTGATTCTCGAGTAAGTCCAATTTCCCCTCCCACTTTTCAGTCATTCAGTAGTACTCGGTTATCTGGAACTTGATAACTCGAAATCCCCGCTAACTTGAACTAAATTTCCTTTCCCTTGATCAAAATCAAGTTCACTGTGATTACCTAGCCTGCGAAGCGCAGACGCATTTCCGGTCGTCGCTTCTCTCCCTCCGAAAATTCTATTTTTCGGAGGGAGAGAAGCGACGACCGGAAATGCGTCTGCGCTTCGCAGGCTATGTGATTACCCCGAGAGCTCGAATTCTGAGCTCCACTTGGATGCCATTTCGCATTAGGTCTTCTTGTTGTACAATCGGTAAATCCAGCAATTTGATTTTCAATTTGATGGTGCAACAAACATATCACGTTTTATCACAAACAAGGACCATAATCATGTTACCGTTTCTGATGAAATAAGTTTGCATTGTACTATACACTCAAATAAAAAATCAATAACTATTAATTATTAGGATGGAAAATTTGACATTCAATCGACCCGATAACTCGGGACCCCGCTAATAATTGAAAAAAAACTCGAACTGTTTTTCGTTTCCCTTCAGAGTTCGAGTTGACGGTATTCTACTGTATTTTCTCGACGTCCCTACTATCTGATCTGAGAGCTTGGCACAGGCTACGCCTTGTGGCACCCCTTGCCTTAATAACAGCGATCCTTAACTGCACTTCGACTTGCTAAGGTGCCCTGTTGGACTACGAACGCTTTCTGGCCGAGCAGTAGACTTTTCCTTGCAGGCTATGCCGCGTCCACTCTCGGTAAAAACGGGCGCTTTCATCTCTTACATATCTCAGTTATCAGTACAAGCGCGCGAAAGGGCGGAGCTGTATTGATCCACTCAATTTTTGTGAATAACGGCTTGTTACTGCCCTGACATCTCATCCCAGTTATTTCAGTGAATTCTCTTTTCCGGCAGGTTTATACGGGGTACTTCTTTCTTTAATCCCCTGTACAGCCGCCCCCTCCTCTCAAACAAAATCTCCCCGGTTTTCTTTTCAGGGAAGGGAGGGTCTGTACAAAGGCTACCCTCTTTTCAGACATTTAAATTGTTCTAAAGTGGCTTTCTCAAAAGAGTGATCCTCAGAAGAATCAGTTTTTTCATAGACCGTTCCCGGAACAAGCATTTTCAGCTCTTTGTCTCGTCCAGTGACATCGCGCATCCGCCTATATAGGCGTGGGATCGGAGAAAAAATGGTCGCAACATATCTCAGTTCTGGCTTCCGGAGGCGCCCTAATTTTCACGATCAACTAAACATCCTCAGATATATTGTTCGTCAAATTCATATTTTAATTGATAATCTATGTTGCTGAAAAATATATCGCCGATACTGGACTTTGATGAAGTAATCGACGCACTTAGGTTTTTAGTCTCCCTCTGCTTCCGGTTTGTTTCACTTAACGCGGTAAGTGGCGATCAGAAGTAAACAACGTGGAGAGATAAATAAGTAAAATGGGATGAAACAATGATAATAAAAAGCCTAAAGAGCTCATAAATCGGTGAAACAGTTATCAGCTAATTACAATAATTATAATAATGTTTTTACGGTAAAGATTAACATTATTATTATGTATAGTGTAATAGAGTGGAATATAGAGTGAGATGATCAAAACGTTTTTCAAGACCAATATTGTTTGACTACAAAAGGTCGTTTTCACGTACAATACATAAAAGATGAAATAGAACGTATATTAACACAAGTTTTTTTTTAATAAAGCAAAAAATAGTTAATACTGAAATTCGAACACAGCGTTTACTTTACAGAAAAACCTGAATGTTATAAGAAAATTGACAAAAACAGGCTTATTGCGTGGAAAAAGTATCAACTAGCACTAACTTCTGTTCTCGTGGTATAAATCGTTCGTCTCTCGAAAAGGAGCTAGAAAATGAAATCAGGGTACATGTTGGCAGAAAGGTTACCATTAGTACAAAAAAAATTTTTTTTCACAAAAGTTGTTGGTGGATTTTTCAGTGGATAGCAACTCAAACAGCGTCCATGTTAACAAGTTTTTCGAACCAAGCCTTCTCTCATTGATATGCAAGTCCCATCTAAACAGTTTACTTTTCTTGATTGTCTTTCCACCAATAGCAATGCGTCTTGTAAATTCCTCAATGGCTGCCATAGTGGGTTAGTGATGCGAAGTGAATGCCAACTATTTGATCTATGTCACAGGTTTATCTGCAACAGGACAGTTTATAAATGCCTCCAGGAAATGTCGAACGTTTGCCGTTGTTTTGAACTGTCTTAGGACTCAAAGCTCAAGCTTCGTATTCGGTAAAACCGAGCTGTTCTTTCGAGAATAATGTGACCTGTCGCTGTGCATCGACATGGTTCACAAAAATGCTTATGGAACGACTAATCCGGACGATTCCGTCGTCCCTGAACTAGACTCTTTTGACACTTCGCTGAAATCGGATACGGCTCAACAGATCATTCAACAATGGATTGAGGTATGGTGAAGAGACAGTTGGTGTCAGCTTTCGTAGTCTTTTGGAGTGTGTATGCCTTTCGGCACAGAAGTGGTTGTCGCTTGAAATTTGCCGCTTAAAATCGACTAATAACGTGTTTATTTTTGTCCAGGAGGCGACTGGAAGAGTTTTTAACTCGTCCCGATTTATAGAATCCTTGCAAGACGGCGTTCTTTTATGCTAGTAAGTTATTAACGATCGTTTTCGATAGCTTTGCTTTGTTGAAAGGATTAGAACTCGGTAGCACATACCATACTCATCGATTCTCTGTATTTGTAGCCTTGTAAAGCGAATACAGCCAGATTCGGAGATTATTCAGGATGTTATCGAAGCTCCAAATCCTCAGGAATCTCAGGTATTGAAAAGCACTGTAATGTCTCCCTAGAAATAATCTTTATTTCCTCAAACACGAATAAGTCCACTTCGATGCCACGTTCCATATTCTTCGTATTTGGTATTTGTTATTTTTAAACGCTTGCATGCGTCTAGTGAAAGAGTTTTGCGGTTTCTTGTTGCTTTGGCACACAATGTGTGAGTTCTAATGAAATGTTTAGTAAAGTAAAAAATAACGATGGAATTGTTGATAGCCCAGGGTGCTGCACCACGCAGTATTCTTGTTTTTTCGAGTTATCGCGTATATCGTGTGGCAAGTTGCTTGTCACGTTCAATCTACGAACTTCGCCTTTACAAGTTAATCGTGATTTCTACGCTAGAAATTTTACCCCATCTAGATCAGAGCAAATGTCACAGTGATCGTGGCTTTATCAGCAACGATGTTTAATTTTAAATTATAAAATGGTTTTGTCCCCCTAGCTAATAATGTGTGATTTTAGTCGATGTGACCGGAAACCAGTTTACATCTCACGGGAAGCGCCATTATGATGATCGTTTAGTCATCATGCAAAAAAAGAATGGCCAGTCGCTATTTGTTTCAAAACACAACATTTCCTTTGTCGCTTTCTTTAAGACGAGTGCTACAAAGAACGTTCGATCGCACGTTTATTGATCATTTTACTGGCTTCAAAGGTACAACGTACATTGACGCGAATAATCTCGGGCGTTTTGATTTGATTTCGTTGACAGAAAACCCGATGTTCCAAAACCATGATTTTATTAAATTAACCCGTGTTTTAGTTAACTTAGCAGTTGTTGAATAGGGTCGTGTTTGTCAAACTGGAGCTTTTTGTATCCCCACAATCGCTCCTTTTTATTAAAGCTTTGTTGTGGCAGTCTGCTTGTTTTCTGTTGAACTTTTCCCTCATAGATCACCCAGACTAAACTGCATGATATTGATATCACTTCATGGTCCAAATTACTGAATTTCGTGACTGGCCGCTACATAATCGGCCTAATCCTTAATATGTTTTTGTCTCCTAGTAAAGATATGCTTAACGGCATATTTCAGCACGAAATGTTCCGAGGTTCCATTTTGGCTTAAATAGTTCATCAATTTTTCGAACATTTGTCATTGATTTCAATTGTCGTTCGCAAGTAGCGATCTTTACATTTGATAATCTGTTGAACTGTTGAAGTGTTGTTATTATTAAAGCCTAAGTTAATTTGCTAATTTTATTATAAAATTATGTTATTAACTGAGTAGCAAATTTCAATCACATAGCATGTCTTCAAAACCTAATTCATTCCTTGAACACAATGAAGTTGTTTAAATTAATGTGTTATTACACTTTGTAATCTGGCAAAAATAAATCCTTTAATTTCTCTCGAACTTTGTGAACAATATAATTTTGAACACTTTTCTGTATAATTTATAGAGGATAGGTATGTTACTATCCTGCATTCTCAATAGATTTCCATTTAATCGCTGTATAATTAAAAGAGGTGAAAATACTGTAATGTTTGAATGTATAATTGGTGGTTGTAAATTTCAATCATTCACCTTACAAAGGCCGTTATCGTGTTTTTAATCACACGTTTTCTTTAATCCTTTTTACCATCACCCAATAGACCACTTAATGATAATTTTTTTTTTATGTTATTAACTATCACTTTTTGAGCTAAACCTTTTTATTTGAGATGCATCATTGCAAAGTGATCTTTGTTATTTTTATATGGCAAGTGCATGGTGATCCATATATTTTTATTCATTTTTGTTGACACCATTTCTTAAGTTTTCACTTTTTTTATACACCCCTGTTACTTTTCAAATTTCAAGATGTGCTTAATGAGCAAAAAAAAAGTGAGTGTGGTATATCTAATAAAATAATCATTGCCTCTGATCCTAATCTTTTTCACAATTCCATTAATTGTATATAATGAATTGAGAAATAAAATCCCAATGGCCTAAGTGGTAATGTGAAATCTTCATCCTCACATGCTGCTTAAGGGATCTTTTACTAGGATTACACTGGTAAATAAACTTTCAAGAATTCATGTAGGCATTGTTACATATGATATCCTAACTCTGTGTAGCTCTAGCTAGTTCCTGTTTCAACTACCCAGAAATACAGCAAACCTTTGTTTAACTAAGCTGTGTATCAAACTGTGGCCATTCTTGGTGGCTCACTTCCTGAAAGACACTAAATTAGATCTATAAACTTTAAAGAGGATGTTTATTTTCCTGTATATAGATGCACCTTTGACATGTCTGTCTGTAAAGTTATTAACAGTTTATGTCAACTTTCAATTTGATTTACACAGAAGATTCCCTCTATGCTCTGAATTGACTTAATCTCAAATGAGCTAATTTGTTAATTCAGGCAATGTAATTCAGTAATAATTTGTTGTAAAATAGAAAAAAGCAACAAGGATGTTACTTACAGGTTTCAACCTCCTGTTATTAGCAGCCACCCAAAATGTGAATTGATTAAATGTGGACTCTTATGAGAGGCGGCTACTTATTGCTTGACCTATACACTACGTTTTGGAAGAAAATTTGTTTAATGCATGTAATTTCCAATGTAGTTTCAATGTAGTATACTCTAAGTAGTATAGTCAGGGCTCAAAATTAAAAAAATCCTCTGGTTGCCCTTTGGTGACCAACTGGAGAAATATGGTTGCCAGTTTGTATAATGTAAATGATGCAGCTCATAGTATCAGGGCTTCTGATATTCAGCATGGTCACAGGGCTGCAAAATTCACGTAAACCCGCAAAATTCACAAAAACATGCGAAACACTGCAAAATTTGCTAGAAATCTTATCAAATACATGTTGATACATCATATTTGAAACTTATCTTGGCCATCGGGGCTGTTTAATTGCTGTAAACGTGCAAATTTATCTTGAAACTTCATCACCACAATGAGCAAACAACTTCCCAAAACTACCAGGCGTAAATTATGTTGCAAAAACCTGGACACTAGTCATGATGTTAAAAGCTTTGCCATAGGCTCATTTCTCGAGTGCTTTGTTGTTATAATAGCAAATGATTGTCTCTGTTAAAAAGTTTAAACACTCCCGTCAAATCATCGCAAAATCAATTGATTTGTAGCGAAATTTGCCCGGAAAATTCCCATGAAATCGGCCATTTTTTTCTGACTGTTTCTCAGCTAAGTTAGCCCCGAAAATTTCCGCAAATCTGTCTCTGAAAATCCCGCGAAACTTGAATTACAAGACCTATCAGTTTTGATTGTTTGAAAATACCGCGGACAGAAGTAGGTATAAATTTGGAGTTAAACTTGCTTTGTTTATGCAATTTAGCAGATTTTTTTTGATGAAAGCAAAGCAAGATAAGATGAAATGTTTGTTTTCTGGTCCTCAAAGTGGTGACTAAACCAGAATTTTTAGTCGCCCAGGAGAAAATGTTAGTCGCATTGGCGATGGTATCAGTCGTAATTTTGAGCCCTGGTAGTGCATAGGTGCAACATAGACATAAAAGCTGTCTTTTGCGCGGAAGTTGTTGGTTTTTGTTTCAGAATAAAGTGATGTTTCTGCTGAAGATCAGTATGCTCAATTACTGACAATCCTTCATTAAGAGGTCACTTGCCGTTACCCTATGAAGGTTCAACAGTAGATTTACTTAAGTCTAGTGGTCATGAAGTCCGTCAAACTTTGCTTGTCATGTTACATCAAGCAGTTGCATACAAATTATTAAACTGTCAGTGTATAAAGCGATTACGGTAACTTACAAGATGTTCCAAGGTGTGACATACCACTATGGTCGCCATGGCAAGTAGAAAAACATTTTCGTAGCTAAAATTGCACTGAAAGTTGCCAGTTTGGTCTCAACTAGTGTTTGATCATAATGGGACAATTATTTGTGGTGCTTTGTTCCTGGGTGTTTATGGTATTTCTAAAGTTAAAGTGAGATAAACATTTGCGTGAAATGTTGTGCTCTTTTTCTTTTTTAATTCACCTTTTTACCCAGGCTGGCTGGTTATTAAGCCTCATGTGGCATGTGCCTCCAAATTTGATGTTTGGTAGTCAGTTTGATCATCTCCTTACATCCTCATGTGTTTTTTTTTTCTGGTGACCTTGATACATTATTTTAGATTACTAATAGGCCATTTTGAAAAAATTTCAACTTGGAGCACTGAATGAGGAATTTGACTGGGAAAACTTTGGTGTTTAGTAAGGAATGGTTGCAGTTGAAGGTTAGACTGTAACCGTGATTTTGGAGTATCAAGATTTTTGTTTTTTAAGATTGTTTACACCAGTCCAGCCAGATTAGTTTGGTTCCCTTGTAAATGAGTGAACTTATCGGACATTCTCATTTAATGTGCCTCATTTCTGCATGCTATATTAATACCAGTATTTATATATTTATCATGTGTTTATTTTTTCTTTCTCTTTTGTTTTTCTTTCAGATTAATTTGAAGAAGTTCTTAGCTGTTTGTAGTGAACTTGGTCTTAGTGGGTGGCAGCTTTTCGATCCAAACGATTTAGAAGTTGGAGGTGATGTTATGTGAGTATTCACAGTATTAAACAGGATTCTCGGTTTTCTCACGACATCACCAAAATGCAAACTAAGCAACTATTGATTCCTCTGAGTTTCTACTGTCGTGAAGTATTACAGCACCTAAAAACTTTTATTTACACGAATTCTTGGTTCCAAAGGATTCTTTGTTTTGCGATAGAGGATGCTTGAATCTCTAGGCTTTTTCGTGACGTGGCATTCAGCTGGTGGCAGGGAAAGCTCTTATTTGGTTTCCAAATGTTACTGATTTTTTGAGATTTTGCTATCTAAACAGTCCTTGTCTTAGAATAAATATTACTTTAATCTTTATGAGTTCCTCAATTAATAAATTCACGTATAAGTAGGAAAACTCAAAAACAAATGTTTCTGTTGGTTTCCGGCGGCGATATTTGTGCCCCTCAAAGGGACACCAACATGGCGTCTCATACAAAGTCTTATAAATTTGGGTAAAGCAGTTTTCCGAATATCTCACGTGTGCAATATTGCACAGACCTGATTCTTGGCGAGGCTTTTTGTGTATTTATCTTCCTTCATTCCCCAGATTCTGGACTTTCTTTATTGACTGGTTTGCATTTTTATTTTTGATGGCATGACAGTGAAAACAGAGAATTCCATAACAAATCAATATATGTTATGATGTTGACAAAACATGGATCGGACCAACCTCTGTTACCCTATACCTATCTTTTTGTCATTTAGCGAATTACAGGGCTAGATCGGATCAAGGTATTATTGATGCCTTAATCATTACTCACACAGGGCTGTCATTGTCACAGTCACCTTCCCAGCTGTTTACTAATTTTACTTTAATGTTATTTATCTATTTATTATACTTTTACTTCTACTTACTGTTATTTATTTTGTGTGGCAAAACAATTAAAAAATAAATAAAAATTAAAAAATAAACGCTGGCAAGGATTTGGGGGTTTTCCCAGCTACAGGGCTGTCACTAAGATTTCACGTTGCTGGATGTATGTGTTACAGGTCAAAATAATACGCAGGTTAAAATTTTTTAACCTGGTTTGATTCTCACTTTCCTTTGTCTCGTAACCTTAATTCACAAATAATTAGGGCTAGGTTACAAAGAAAATAGAGAATCAACCTAGGTTGAAAAATTTGAACAGGTCTGAATTTAATTTTGACCTGTAACATATGCAATTTATTAGAAGGCAGGAAACTGAACAACTGGGAAGTTCCTTTGGTTCTATTTTACGTCTTAAATAGTTTTCCTGTGAAAGTTGCAAGGGATCAGGCTAATATTAGCCAGGGGAATTCCCATGCCCACAGCACTTGGTGACAGCCCTGCAGTTATTAAGAATTTTTAGCCTTGATCCTTTTTTATGTCAACCATTTAACATGAGTGACCAGCATCATGCTTAACATCAAAAATGCTTTATCAGACATAAGAAAAAAGATTCACTAAGTAAGATTTGTTTTGATAAAGTGTGTTTTAGTAAAGCAAATTATTGTTGTTAGTACAGTCAAACCTAGATTATCGGGACCTCGATTATCCGGACTATTTCGTCTGATCCCAATGAGTCCAGATTATCTAGGATCGACTGTACCATTGAAAAAGTATGGAAAACAGATTTGAGAAACTTTTCAGGGTTTTAAGCCGTTTTAAGTAAATAACTCAGTCAGTATATGGAAGTAAGTAATCCCCAAAAGTCTACTAATACATGTAGTCCCACTCAGTAACAAGTAATAACAATTTTTTAATCTTTGACACGATTACCAAATGAAGATCAGACGTACATGGCCAAGACGTCATAGTGTCCACAATGAGGAAAAAACAAACAGGCTTAGCAAACCACAAATAATAATTTTTGTTCATTACAAGAAATCCACAGTTGTCTCACTAACAATCAGTTCCTGCAAACTACAGTTAAACTATATTTATGATTTGAAATGGTCATTAGTACCCTGTTGGATATGCTTACAAGTAAAGGCAAAAAATGTCTTTAAAATAACTGTATCTGGACTGTTCTGCAGTGTTTGGCTTGTTTGAAGACATTCACACTTTTTTTATTTTTTGTGTTTAGCAACTATAAATCAGAAGATGAAGTAATCCAAAAGGTAAGACCTTAAATTTATATTTTAGATAGAATTTTACGAACAAGTTTAGGGGAAATTTAGGGGAGCCTCATAAACAGAATTATAATAGTAAGAGTAGTTTTGAGTGAAGCTTGCAAAATATGGTAATATTTGGGGCTGTTGGTGAGAGAAACAGCCTACTTATGTACTTTATTTGTTAAACAGGTTGTGAGCACATTGTACTGGCTTGGTTGTACTGTGCAAGGAATGTCTTACTACAGGGGACCCAGGCTGAATCTCAGTAACTTTCAAAGAGAAAGTGATGGCACAATTACTGTCAAGGTATGTACTAATATGCACAGGAGGTAATTTTAGAACCTCTTTGCAATTCTAATCTCCAGGTTGTTATTGATGCATGCATCGCATGTATGTAGCCAGCATTCATTTTGACTTCCACTAAGAATCATAAATGGAATGCACAGTACGTGATTTGATCACTCGTTTTTGGACCTTCTATCACTCGTAATCTGATCGCACGTGTTTTGATCATCTATTACGTGATATTTGTGCAAAGCACAGTGTTGGAACAAAAGCATTTTGACCTTTAATTGTTGTCGCCTGCACTCCATAACCTTTGATTATTACTAGTAAGTATCAATTAAGAGTAATTCTGACAAGATAATGAGACCAGCAGCAGCTTCATTAACTCGTATAAATATAAACAACATACAGGAAATAACTCACCTCTTTACACTTCACCATTCCATCCAGTTTACCAAATTGTAATTTGTAATTTGTTTTACCCACGGAGCACTAAGGAGTTCTTAAGAACTCGTTGAAACGTGTCCGTGCATTCCAGATCGAATTTGAATTTGAAAGTGTTGGTTTTTTAAGAGAGGGGAAAACCAGAGCACCCGGAGAAAAACCTCTCGGAGCAAGGGAGAGAACCAACAACAAACTCAACCCACATATGGCGCCGACGCCAGGATTCGAACCCGGGCCACATTGGTGGGAGGCGAGTGCTCTCACCACTGCGCCACCCTTGCTCCACCAGCCAGCAGTCAGGGTGGGATTTGAACTCATTCCTCCAAATTGCATGTTTGAGCCAATGGTCAGTGAAGGGGGTGAATAGGGGTATGCAAATCCACCAATCCGTTATGATTTATTAACCAAATCTGCCCTTCCATTTTCACCCTGAATCTACAATCCGGGCAAAAATATTTGAATTAGATGCAAAGTCCAAAATCCAGGCTCCAAAAATAGATGAATCCGCAAACCACTGCAATTGTAGGATCTGGAAATCCGTTAAAATCTTGCTTTGAATCTGAAATACGGACAAAAAATTTTCAAAATCAGCCGATCCGTTTGCCTATTCACCCCCTCATCAATGCCCTAGCAGCTCAGTCTTATCTGCTTCAGGCACTGGTTTACATAAAAGCGGGAATTAAAATACATTATATTAGGTATTTATCCATCAGGCTCCCCAGATGGTTGTTCAAAATCCACCAGATAAATTGCTATTCAATGGATAGGTATTACGAAAACTAATTGTGTTATCCACTGGGTGGTGATTTATCCGGTGGATAGTGCTATCCAGCGTTCGGACAACCAAGGCCAGATTTCGCAGTTTATAAATATGAAAAAAATATAATAAAACAGATACGAATGTGTGTAAATCTGTGATGAAAGAATCACACTTAGTACATGTACACTTGTAAGAATTAAAGAAGCTAGGAAGCAGGCTTTTCAATCATTTTTTTAAAGAGTTTATGAACTTTCATGTACATGTAGAAAAGGAACGCATGATATGGCAGGTAGTCCTCGTTTTCAAAAAGTTTGGTATTTAAGTGCCATTTCCCAGACCTTTGGTTTGAAACTACAAATTTTAAAAACAGGGCAGAACTCTGAAAAACTTTTAATAACAGCATATTATCCGAAAATCTGTCAATTAAATAGGATAAAGATGAAAGAATAACTGAAAGATGCCATATACAGCAGCTGTGGTTGAAAATCTTTCCTGGGTAATTCATTATTTTGGTCTTGGCTTAAAACATCAACAATACAGCTGAAAAGGCACTCTTGAAAACTGCTATTAAGGGCTAATCATTTCATTATGAGATTAATATTAATAAAGTTAGATTTGAGATCTACTTTTGGCAATACTTAATTGCCCACTTCTTTAAATGTCACATTTTGAGATGTTCAGTGTAATAGGCTTCTATTTATTGCCAAGAAAACTTTTTAAGAGAAATTTTAAGTCAGACAGGATCCAATCAGATCAAATGAACCAGTCATCCTGGTGCTATGTGAAAAGAAAAACATCAATTACTGCGCCTTAATACTGGTAGATAAAACAGTCATTTTCAAATGCTACATACATGTACTGAAGTAATTTTTCACCATATTGGTACTAAAAGTTTTGTTGGTGTTAAATTTCTTGGATAGCCACATTCAATATTAGCAAAGGGCCTTTCATTATTTCAGTATCTTTTTTGTTATTTTGTTAAATTTTTTTTCCTGTCTTGACTTGTGTGATGTATTTTTTTAAATTCTTTGGAATGTTTGATCAATATTTACTCTTGTCATTCATTTTAGAGGTCACAGAAGTTAAAATAACATTTGTTGCTCTCTTGATCCTGTTATACAATATGCAAATTACAAAATGCCATGGCTGTCTGCTACAAGTGCTTGTGATGTTGGATGCAGTGATTTTTTTGCTTTATACATTCCTTGCTGTACAAAGTCGATTTACTATGGGAAAGCTTGAAACATCAATTTTGATTTATCCTACACCTGATTACAGCTCTTAAGTCTCTTGATTGAATTCAGACCCATTGTGGCAATGATTTCAGTGATGCGGAAAGTAGGAAGATACACAAATTAACCTTTATTCTACAAAATACTGCACCAGATGGAAAAGATATCCAGTGTATCTGTGTGAATTCTGTACTAATAGCTCCTTGTGAACTCCAAAACATGGTAATGAAATGTGTGTGTTCTTGTTGAGATAATGACTCTCACCTTGTTGTTAATTAGTTGCTAAGTATGCTATACTTATTCAATTGAGTCAAGTCCAAAATAGCAGTTTTCTTTATTAATAATTCCCTATTTTGAATTGGTAAATTGATGTAAATTTGATGTTTGAGCATTCTCACTAATATTGGTTCTTCCTAGTAATGTTTTAATTTAGTTCCATGTAATTTCTGTGGATTTTAGGTGACACTGTTATTATTCATGAGGAACTCATGTGAATAATAATCCAAACATGGTCTTCATGCATGTGCTAATAATATTATGTAAACTAAAGGGCTATTTCTCACTATAAGTCTAACTTGAGATTTTGGGGGTTTTGTGCTCTGTTGTGTTTGTAATGGGTCATATATCCAGCAACAAAACTTTGATCTTTTAGTTATCTGCAAGTTATACCATTGCTGATTTGATGCACACACTACTAGTGATCATTCAACTCTGAAATCAGTTTAGTTATGATGAAATACCATTACTGCCTCTTTGCCATTTTTGTAAAATATGCTGTATTGATCTTAAAAATACCAATACATGTTAGTGTAATGTGTAATTTTCCCTTAGAGTGTCACATTTGAAGCCTTTATTTGTGAATTTCCTGCTTATTTGATTAATAATGCAATTAGTGAAGTCTACAGAGCACAGTGTCTTCATGCACTGCCTTCAGGAATTAACATTTATTGAATAATTATGAAGTTTAGTTTATGTAAATCATTAATTTTGTTAATGTTATTGATTTTTTCCCAAAATCGGACGTGAAATTCAGTTGTGTTTATCAGAATATGAGTTATTTTACTTTTACATGCTAAACTGAAGCAGACTATAAAATAAGTGGTCCATCGTAGTAAGGTTGAAAGCATCCATGTTATTGCTAGAAGATTTAGTCAAGACAGATTTGTATTCAGACTAACTTGTTCTTACAGACTCCTGTATATTATGGGTAGTTTTGTTGGTCCTAGATATTCTTACAGTTTCTTATTTCATACTTTGATAATCTGGACACCTCTGTAGTGTGTACACTTGGCTCTGTGCCTTGGGTGTCCTTATTAAGGACATTAAGCTGTAGGACACACACTTCTGTAGTGTGGACACTTGGTTCTGTCCCTTAGGTGTCCTTATTAAGAGGCTTGATTGTAATACAGACACCTCTAATGTGGACACTTGGCTATATCACTTTGGTGTCCTTATTCAGGACCATAAGCTGTAATACACACCTCTGTAGTGTGGACACTTGGCTCTGTGCCTTTGGTGTCAATATTAAGGAGGTCTGGCTCTGATACAGACACCTTCATAATTTGGACACTTGGCTCCATCCCTTTGTTGTCAATGTCAAGGAGATTTGACTGTATTCTGTTTTTTTCTCAATTGACAGCCAAATGCTAGGCGCGGCAATGATTACTCCTATGTCAGAATGGATGGACCACACATTAACGGAGGCATTCCACATGGTGACACTGTGCCAACACACCTAACAAATGGCTATGCTGAGAACATGATGACCAATGTAAGTGTGTTCTACAATTGATATTCACTTTTTCTTTTTTGTGTGTGTACCGTACGTACTTGAAAGAGTGCCATGTAGGCTATCAAAATAATCGGTGTAGTACTTGTAAACCCTGGATTACTTGTGGCTTAAAGAAATCCTTGAAAGTAAGAGAGACATGTAAATTTTACAAAAAAATGGCTCATTGCATATTGGCAATCAACAATGACAGGATGCACACTAATTCAGTTGGAGTGTGGGGAGGCTGGCTTAGAGGAGGGGGCTGGCCTAATTTGCTTTAAAGTACAGTGCTTATTCAGGGTTGGCTCTTGTTTGGAGGTGGTGCTCATTTTATATTTGTGACGTAGTAGAATGAGTCGTAGGCAGGAGGGATAATTTTATTATTGTTATGCATGTGAGTGAAGTGCTGCAAAGGATTGACAGTGATGGTAACTGATGGTTTGACAACTTTTGCAGAATTAATGATCAGAAACAATTTGATCCGAAACAAACAATGAAATTTACTGTTCTTGAAATTTGTTTTTGTTTGACAGCTGGTTGCATTAATTTTGTATGTTTAATGCTTTAGGGGGATGAGGCTGTGGAATTTTCTGTCAATGTGCGGATACTTGGAGATGAGAAGCGGTTTGGTTTTTCCGTTATGGGTGGAACAGATGAAGGATTCCCCCCAAGAATTGACGAAATTTCCCCAGGTATAGTGTTGCAAAGTCTTTTTACAAAAGTTTTAAGAAAGCAGCGTGGCCGAGGGGTCATCTTGTCAGACTGAGAATCTGGCAGTCTCGGGTTCAAGCATCACTCTGACCACTAGCTCAAAGCTGGATTTGTTTCTTGGTTGTCATGAGGACAAATTCACGGTCACGCTTGTAATTAGCAACCAGTTGGGGTTTTTAATCATGTTGTGTTCTATTATTTGTTTAATTAGAGACCTTTAGGGCGGAGTTAAGCTAATGTTTAACAAAACGACGTTCTAAGCCATTTTCACTTTGCCCAATGCTTTTATTGTAACACCATTTATCGTGAACAGTTTCATGATAGCACATGACGTAGACTATAAAAGCATTTATTGTCTTGAAATAACCCATTAATGAAGATATTTGGAGGTCCAAAGATGTGCTAAAGCGTGACCTAACTTGGATGTCGTTTAAATAACCGGCGCTTAGATTCTAAGCTGTCGTCATTCAACTTGCAGCTGAAGAAACTGCTGCCCTCTTCTTTTGTTTTAGAGCACCTACATCCTAACTTGTCTTTGGGTGAAAATTGAACTGATTATCAAAATCCGCTCTGCAGCATCAAGGCTTGTAAAATCAGAGTGGCCATGAAAATAAAGAACAGGGTCACACAAGATTACTGTTTGTTAAACGCTTTCTTCTTGCTAATACCGTCTTTTTTTATGGTGTAGAATCTCCTGCTGCCAAGACAGGCCTTTTAGTTGATGATGAGATTCTAGAAGTGAATGGAGAATCAGTAGCTAATTTGTCTCACACTGAAGTCATTTTAAGTATTCATAAGGTAGGTTATAATAGATGTAGGATTTATTTTTTTAGGGTGCCTATTCTTCAAAGATCATGTCACCATGCACAAATTGCATGGTAATCAGGGCTCGAAAAAAAGCCAAGTCCGGTAGTCTGGGACAAGCAGATTTTCTTGCTGGGCAAGTGAATTTTAAAGTTCACTTGCCTAATGTTTAAGGGTCCAAACAGGTCATTCTCTAACAAAATCATTAACTAAGACGAATAAGAAGTGGCCCCGGACACTCCAAGATAGTGTTTTATTTTCACAATGTTTCCATTATCTGAGAGCCTGGCACATACTACAGGCAAGAAAAATGTCAAACCAGTGATAAATCTGCCAATACAAGAAATTGCGATTGTGTTTATTTTAGACAACAGAATAATTATGAAGAACTTATTATCTTTAAGACAATAACAATGGAAAAGTATAGGTGGAAGTGATTGTTGTTATTTTTTTAATGCAGTACCGACTGTAGATGTCCCAACAGCAAGCAATAATGACGTGGAACTTGTCGAAACTTGAACTGTACATTTTGCAAATATAAAATAATATTGCCTTATCGTTTTGAAAGGATAAATAAACTCGACCGCGATTACTCGTATTAGCAAATTTTATCACTTGTTTGCCCACTGAAATACCACGACGTGGCGTTGCTTTTATCCCATCAAGCGATGCGCTTGCAAAGATGGGGGGTACCGTGAACGAGGTCTATTCTCATGACCTTTTCTCTTGGTTATGTATTAGTATTATTATGAGGAAATTGATGTTGGTCACTCTTGCGACCAATAGGATTAACGTTTGCGTGTGCATGATGGACGCGCGGCTTTATTCCTCCTTTTCCTTCCCCTTCGAACTGCTAGGTAGTAGTGCCACGCTTTAACGCATATCTCATGAAAAACTCAATAGCACAAAGCTCATCTATTGTGTGGAACCTTCTTACTCCTGAGCTTGCAAAGACATCCAACGTTAAAAATTACACTAGAATGGCCGCTAAATCTGACAGCCAACGTAATTTAGATTTTCGGGCTCAATCTCCACAAACAATGCCTCACAGTGACAACGATATTTTTTTATATTATTAAGACGATTTTAAAACACTTTCATTGCTCACGTTTCAGTTAGCTTAAATGCACGACCCCATAAGCGGCAACGCTTCAATCACCATCGTGTTGAAATAAAAGTTATTGTATTGTACTCCTGCCACGCAGCCCGGGGCGGGGGACTCCGCATATGAAAGGGGTGGGGATGCTCGTGGGAAATTTTGAATTAAACCCTTAAAGGAGACCGATCTGGTGGGGGCTCAAGCCTTTTTTGACCCCTAAAAGAGACCATGTTAAAACACAGACAATATATATATTTTTATATTTTTTCGCGTGCAACCCTTAACGAGACCTTCACGGCTAAATGTGATGGCGTTTTGCCCAGAACACCCTAAGTGAGACCAAAATCCGAAATTTACACCGCTAAGCGAGACGACGAGCATCCCCACCCCTTTCACATGCGGATCCCCCCCAGGCCACGCAATGCACGTTTTAATACCTTCCATGCTTTCCATGTATAAAATATGTTATTTGTTTTATCTTGCAGTGTCTTAGAAATAGAGTTATTGCTCTGAAAGTTCGAAGAGGTAGACGATATTTTCAAGGTCAGTGCGCATTCATTTTGTAGCTATTCTTGTTACATTTTTATCGTTTTTTATACTGGTTTAACAAGTTCAGATTGGTTTCTTAGTGATTTGTCACTTAGAGAATTGACAGTAACTGACCAAAGCCATTAATGGTGGCACCACTCAAGGGCCATCAAAACGTGATCAGGCGAGCGTACGTTTTTACATAAGAAACTGAGTGTTTCTTTTTTTTGTTTTTTGTTTTTTGTTTTTCTCTCGTTTGGTCCGAAAGAACACGATCGTAATGGCAAAGTGGTTGCATAAACGGGTTGGTCTAAGGGCGGGTTTCCACTGTCTTTTTATTCAATGCAACCTACTGCCTTTGAAATTTCAACCATCATTTGATTTGAATCGATTTAATGTTCATATTATAGCATTTAAAAAAGTGTAAATCTTAATTGTTTTGCAGGGGTAAACGGAATTGGCAATCATGATGATGTAAATGCCAACCACACAGGAAAGGTGGACACGAACACGAGAAATAAAATTCAAAAAATCATGCAAGACCACGAAAGTGATCCGCAGTTCCAGTACTACAACTCAGACGCTGAATCTGAAGGATCGAACAACGATCAAGAATTTTACGGAAACGGCGACGTCGGCGTTGTATCGCCCGGACCGGGATGGAGCAAGGACTACGGCAATAAAAATTTTGGAATATCGGGGAAAAACGTGGCGCAGTCGAACTTGCAAAAACATAAATCATTGTCTACTCCGCTTTTTGACTTAACAAAACTTGATACCATAGAGACAGAGGTTGATGTGGATGAAAATGATACCTACGCTCTTAGAAACGAGGCTTATGATAGCGACCTTGATGAAGATTTACTACCAGGTGAGATAGCTTGGTGCGCAAGGGATCTGCGCGCGCCGTCGTCACTTTCGTCAGGTTGTTAGTGGAGGGATGTAGTCAATAGGGAGCTTAAGCAGCAGCGTTTTTGAGCGACGGACGTCAACCGGAAGTGGACTTTTTGCATCACTGGGGAATGGTTTGGTTGAAACTCTCGGGTAAATCGTCTTTAAAAGAGAAAAGAAACTCAGCAATACAAGTTTGTTAGCGTCAAGGCATATAAAAAGGGAGAAGGCCTCACTTCCGGTTGACGTGCGTGGCTCAAAAACGTCTTTGCTTAAGGTCCCTAATGCCCTAGCTCCATGCCCTTGTTGTTCCCTCATGCAAGAAACGTTTTTCCGTCCATTTCTAAGTGCAAGGGCCGCCTCCATCTAGGTAGAGATTCTCGTGAGTTTTAGCGGCGTGATGATGTAGACGTGATACACTAATTGTGGCCCAGTTCGGCTAATTTAGTTCAACTTCGCATCAGAAAAGAGGCCACTGTTTTTGTGCTTTTTTTTTCTTCCAAGATCTGTAAAGAAAGTCATGAAACACGACTAATCGACTTTGGCCCCGTCCACACGTATCCGTCTTTGTTTGAAAACGGAGATTTTTTCTCCGTTTTCAAAACGTTCTGCGTCCACACGTTGCGTTTTTGAATCGTTTTTACCCGTCCACACAAAAATGCAATAACGATTGAAAACGGTACCATTTTTGATGGGAGCAGGTGCATTTACTACTATCCAACACCATGACGAAATCGTTTTTAAAAACCTCCGTTTTTATCCTTCCACGCGAGTACAACAAAGGGCGTTTTCAAAAATGTCCACTTTGGAGAGCGTTTTTGAAAAGATGGGTTTTCGGTGACCGGTCTTACGGGATTCTCGTGGACTGAGTCTTTGTTGAAACTATGGGAAGTGAAATCTGTTACGTGAGGTCTGTCGAGTCAAATAATTGCCTCCGACTCGAATAAACTTGAATAAATAAAGTTGTGAACCAGTATATAAAAAAAAATGAAGTCCTAGACTTGGCGGATATTTGAATTCACAAATTTGTTTCGTCTGTTTTAGGGGAAGCTGAAAAAGAGTTGTTATTTCCTTGCATGAATGAAGTCAAATCTAAACTCCAGTCAAGCTCTGACATGGACGATATCGCATTTGTTGAGAATCTTTTTGAACAGAAAGACTTTCAGGATGCTACGAACGTAAGTCATTAACATCTCGCATTTTACTGAAATTACGGTAACTAACATGTTTCATATGATACTAAAACATATTTATGAGAGTGGAAGATTATTTCTCTGTACATCGTCGCATTTCAGGTGAATTGTAAAATTTTACGTTTTTCTGATATTTGACGATTTTATGAAGTAATTTCTATAAGGAGACAAACTGCCTGTTTTACAAAATGTTGTTGTTGTTACTTAACCCTTCAAGCCCCAGTATCCACATACAAATTCTCCAAACTGATCTCCATACATTTCCTTTAAGAATTAGTTGAGAGAATTTAATAAAACATCAAGGCATTTTCTCTTTCATGATCATTTTTTATATTCTCACAACCTTATCTCTTGACATTGTATTGACATTGTTGGGAGAAAATTGCTGTTGATCACTATTGGGACTTAAAGGGTTAACTGTAAGTGTCATCAGTCAAATTTCAAGCTGACTGCTTTCTTTGCACACTGATTTTTCATTTTAGGTTTACACGAAAATGGTTGAATTAGAGCGATCTGGACGGGGCTTGAGTGCAGTCAGCCCTGTGGCTACAAATTCACAACATCTTTCTTCTCAGGTTGGAGCTCCATAAACGTTTTAAAATATTAAAAATGTTTAATGCCAGCATTTTATTGTTCTTTTCTTCATCAGGGGGCTTTTGAACTCTAGTACAGGGACGATTTTCTCTTTGCTTGTCACGCTATTCGCGGCTCGCGATCTTAAAGGAGTTTTGTCACGCTGTTTACTATCTTTTTAAGAACTGGGCTAACAATTGTCTTTGCATCAATCGAATTCCAAAAATGATGTCCAGTTTTGTTATTCAAGACTTAATTCAGGTATTGAAGCTTTTTCCTGTCATCTGTTGCTACGGATTGCATGGATGGACATGAATAAAACCAATTTTTTCAAGGTTTAATGCTATGCCTACAAAAATCACCAAAAATTTGTTATGGTTGTTGCTCCCTCATGAAATGTGCTTGATATCTTCGTCATTACTCTCCAGGAGCATTTTGTGTATGGGTAAATGCACTAAGTAATGACTTCAGCACAGAATTGACCTTAAACAGCAGCATATCCTCGTGACATAACCCCGTTAAGGCCCGCTTATACTGGCGATTTTCTCTGCGATTTCGTTGCGATTGTCCAGTCTTTATGCAGCTGCTCCCGTAAAGCGCGTCGTGATATTAACACTTATCTAGCAGTGTAGAATTGTGGTTAATCTCACGCGAAAACTGAATCACCGATTAGTCAGCTCAGAATTCCCGCAGGTTCGAAATTACGGCGATTTTACAGAGGGACATGAAATCGCCGCTAAATTACATGCGCGATTTGAAGTAACATCAAAAATTGCTCGAAAAGTCACCTGTGTAAACAGGCTTCTACTTGCATATTAATGATGAAGTTGAAGTGAAGTTTATAACATTACCTTTTAATATTTCAGTTGAGACATTCTCTTGAGGCTGTGAGGGACTCAAGAGATGCAGAGGAATTATTAGAGATTTTACAGTCGCCTAACTTTCAGGTACGGTAGTCATGTTAGTAGTGAACGTGGCAATTTTGCCTTGGTAAATATTAGAGACCCTTACCAAAGTACGACGGCGAAGGTAGCGGGAACGTTTAAAACACGATAGGTTTGGTCATCATAACAACAACTCTGCTCGTTTATCACGCTTTTTTGTAGATTTTTTGCTGTTCCTGCACGACCACTACTTGAGATGGTCAAGTTTTTAAGTTTACTTGAAGAAGGGATCGACAAGGCGATAAATTTTATTATGTCTGTCTGAACTCAGAGCTGGTCCCCTCACTGCAGTTTTAACCTGACTTCCCTGGGCCTAGGCAATCGTCGAACTTTTCATGAGACGAGCCAAACTTAGCGAGTAAAGTTCATGAAAAGATCGACGTATGAGGCTAAATAAACATTGTCATACAAATTTTTCATTTCTAGTATTAGTTTAGTTCGTCGCATATGCAGATCGACGTTGGTTCCAGAGACGATCGTCAGACGTTCAGACGGATAGAACGTGTTGGACGATCCAAACTCATTTAGACAAACTTAACTGAGCCAAACATTCGTCGACCATTTCATGATCTTTACTCAGTAAGTTTGCTTCGTCTCATGAAAAGTTCGACGTTTAGCGTAGGCCCTACTTTAAATAACATGGCAACTTGGAGAAATCGATAAAAAAAAGTTGGAAAGGACGCGCGCGAACTCTATTTTTCAGCGGCGAAATTACTGACGTTGCTGTTGTCGGGACGTAAGGTCCCTATTTCTTAAGCGCACGTGGTTGTTTCCTTGTTTAATTTATTTGACCGGGGGAAGACTTGCCTGCGTTGATTTTTCAGTTGACCTGGAGCGCTTACCATTTGTAGCGAAATTCGGTGAAAAAATTCCGTCAAATGGTACTGGTATTTTTTTGGGCACAGAAAACAGGAACATTGAGTTGTACCATTTGCAAAATACCGGTAAAATTTTCGCTTTCTCTCGACTTGCAGCCTGGTACTGGTAATCCAAACAAATGGTACAGAAAATTTCGGTCGTTTCGGTAATACCTCGAAAGGTATTACTTTTTTTCCGGAAAATTTCCACCGGGGTGAACCATTCCATTCGAATTCTCCCCGGAATTTTCGGGTTTTCCATGCAAATGGTAAGCGCTTCTGGAGGAAGAGATTAATGAAGGCTGAAGCAGAACCTTTGGGGATTTAAAAAGTCGTTTAGTTTCCCTAGGTAAACCTACCAATGAGATGCTGAGTTTTGGACACTGCACGTGCAGCGCGTGATTAGGTCCTAATTTGACCTAATTGGCAAGCGCTGTGTTCGTGTGAAGGTCTAAGAAAGCTTATTTCGGAGTGAAACGTCGTAAAATCCTGAAGGTACGTGTCACCTCAGCTAAAGTAAAACCCCAACTCTTCTGGGAATAATAATTTTAGTGACATAGTGTGGGAGTGTGACCACAGCGACTGGTTTTCTGTTCACCTACTTTCGTTCACGCGACTATTCATACGTTTTCCTTTCTCCCCTTCTCCACAATTTTGTTGACAGAGTCTCCTACTAGCGCACGATAGACTAGCGTTCAGGGAAGCTCTCCCGAGCGAAGAAGACGAACAAGAGATGGAGTCTGAACCAGAGCAGCATCAAGAGGCTCAGCCGGCCACGGATGACTTTTCACTAGTTGAGGACGACAACGTAAAGATCGTGAGAATAGATAAGGCAACTGATCCACTCGGAGCCACAGTCAAAAATGAAAATGGCACCGTGATGATTGGAAGAATTGTTAAGGGTGGAGCAGCGGATAAGTGCGGTGAGTAGACGTAACAGATCCGTTAGTGTGTTCGACTTAGGAGAACGCACTCCTAATCTGCTACTTTCACGATCCCCATGGTGCAATTTGTTTTCAGTTGCTCAAAGGACGATTATAAGTCCCGAGGGAAATTGAAAACATTACCTATGTAAAAAATTCGGGGAAAACAACTATTGCTTGTGCGAATGTGAAAGTCGTAAAATACAGATAGGAGTGAGATTGTATGGGGCGAAAGTTGTTGATAAACGGTATTCAATCTCGTCCCTAGGGCTTTTCGCTTAGAAAATGGGAGGGAAAAGCCATGGGGGCGAGGCTGGAAGGGAACATGGGACGCCTATCTGGCATCCCCGCAGTCATCATAGCTAACTTGGTCGAAATGGAGAGAGAGATCTTGAATTTCGATTCCGGATTCGAAGTCTCTGGACACACGACCAAAGTGAGCAGTTTTTGTTTCAGTTTCACTGGTGCCAAAATGTATCGGATTTGTCTCGAATCTAGAAAAATATCTCTAGTGTAAACTTAGCCCGGATCTGTTGGTACGTGCTGTTTTTCTGGTCAGCTGCTTAAGTCTTTCTGACACTGTTCTCGATGTTAAAACAGTGCTCTATTTGACACTGGCTAAACTCGGATAATAATCGCCTTTATGGATTTGAGACAGTTGACACGTAGCTATGAGATGATTCACGTCTGAACATTTCGTTGTATTCGCGCAAGCGCACAATGATAACACCTAAACGCAGTTTATCTGTTCACGTATGTCAAGCAAATGTTGTGACCGTTCGACCCAGTGCCTCGCCTGGGAAAAACTGCTGTCAGGTGCAACTACTAAAACGTGAGAAATAAGAAACTCAGAGAGGGTGACTCATTTTAGGCAGACCATAGAATGAATTTCATCCAAACTGCTTCCCTAATCAACTGTTTAATTATTTTCTCATCATTGTTTCTTAGGTCTCCTGCAAGAAGGTGACGAAATCCTCGAAATAAACGGAGTGAACATGAGGGGCAAGACGGTAGCGGAAGTCTGTGAGCTGCTTGCAGACATGAATGGAACACTGACTTTCGTTTTGAACCCAGCAAATCGGTCGCGAGTTCCATCGGATAGAGAAGTCCATGTGCGCGCGCATTTCGACTATCACCCTTACGAGGATGACTTGATACCGTGCAGAGAACTGGGACTAGCATTCAGACGAGGCGATATTCTTCATGTTGTCAATCAGGAGGATCCTAACTGGTGGCAGGTTAGTGACGTCATTTATTGTAAAAGATGCGAGGGAATGTGTTGCCGTTGCGCGTCTTTCAGTGTACACAGAGTGCTCGACATGTACAGTTAGGTGAGAGAACCGGAATTTGAACTCTTTACGACCCTCGTTCTTGTCTGGGCCTGCCTTATACGTTCGAAGTTATCAAGCTGTTCAGTATAATACTGAAGGAAAGTCAATTCCAAAAAATTAAAGAAAAAAATTATGGCCTGGAATAATAAGTTTTCTTTTCACGAAAAGAATTGGATTTCTGCAAGTAACAATACAGTAACTCGAACTCTATACTAAAGGGAAACGAAAAACAATTCAAGTTAGCGTGGATTCGAGTTAACGGGTTCGATTGCAAAACTCAATTTGCCGTATTAAAAATTAATAGGTACTGATTTTTCAGCACTTCGGTGTATAGTGGACTGCAAATTTAACCTATTTCATCAGAATGGTAACATGATTAAGTATTTCTTCTTTTATGATAAAACGTGAACTGCTCGTGGCACCAACTTAAATCAATTGATGAAGTGTTGACCACTGTTAGTTTTAGTATTTTTACCGATTATACAAAAAGAAGAAGTAATGGGATGGCATCCAAGTGGAATTACAAGAACCAGAATTTGAGTTATCGGGTTAAATTTCAGTGAATTTGCAAACGAGGGAAATGATATTTAGTTCGAGTTGGCGGGGAATTCGAGTTATCCGAGTTCGAGTTAACCGAGTAGAAATAAATGAAAAGTGGGATGAAATCCATGCAGGGGAAATTGGACTTAGTTCGAGTTAGCGGGGAGTTCGAGTTACCCGAATTCGAGTTATCGGGGTTCTACTGTAGTTGTTAACATCAAAGACAGGTTAAATATATGCTGTTGAGGTCTTAGTGATGTTATCTAGCAAATATTTCTTGAGGTTAGGTTTGGTGTCATTGCTGATGAAAGTTATTTCATCTGACGCCCTTGTTTTTGGTTTAATTAACCTGAACAGAGACTAATACTTTATTGTTTTGTTTTTGTTCAGGCATGGAGAGCGGGGGAAGAAGGCAAAACATTGGCTGGACTTATTCCTTCCAAGCACTTCCAACAGCAGTGAGTTCGTTACTTATTTTGAATCATGGTCGACACTGATGTTCTAGAGTGTTTTTTGTCCTGGTGTCGTTTTTGCTTTCTGGTCAATAACTGGGTTATCTGATGAAAGGATCTTTCTTTCCCCTTTACAAGCTTTTTTTCTTAACTGTAAACCAAGTGAGAGTAAACTTTGTGAGATAACACTTGCATGAAATATTGAGATAGATTTGTGTTTGCAGAAAAGAGTCAATGAAGAAAACAACCCAAGAAGCGGAACAACCGAATAGAGAAAGTAAGAACAGCTTATATTCTTTTGTTTGTTGTTTACCGGCGCTGACCAATCACAGCGTGAGCTGACAGTTAAATTAACCAATCAAACCTCGATGCGAGCGCCAAGCGCGGGAAACGAGCATACCATAGTCTCGATTGGGTTTTGGTTTTCCTTTTGCTTGGTTGAGAAAAGTGGCGCGAGATTTTTTGGCCAACCACAAAGCGGTTTAAACAAAACCAAGCCATTTTCGAAAGGCCGACGTCATCGGTGAGGACCGCAACGCTAAGAAACTGCCGTTCGCACGCTTTTTCATGTTCCTGTATCGCAGAATGTCTTTTTTATCGAGTGTCCTTTAACGTGTTTTTCAAATGTTTTTCTTTCTCCTTATTGTTGTAATCTTTTTTTTCTTACAGAGAGAGGATGCCTTTGTTTCAGGCGAAAACGAAGAAAAAAGGTTCTTTACAACGCTCAGCATAACGAAGGTTTGGGTTTACACTCTTTGTATTAATTGTGCGATATGTTAACTAAACAACGGGTTTTGGTTTTGTAGAGGCGTATTGGTGACGTAACTTCCACACTTGCATTTTTTTATGATTGAACTCGTTTTTTTTTTTTTTTTTTTGAACAAAAAACTTTTTATTTACAGAGAAAATACCCTCCCTTTCCGTTACGATCACAGTGAAACAAGTTTTTAACAGTTTTTTTTCGGGTCAATCAATTAATCACGATGACGTTTAAGGCTTGGTAGCTTGAGGAGCGTTTTCATCGGGAAAAAAATTGCCAGTTCCAGGCTCTCAGTTAGTGACAGGAGACGAGCAAAAAAAAGCGGGTCGAGGCCCTTAAATAGGCTACAGAGAAATAGCCCGTGTTCAGACCCCCACCCCCCCTCCCCTTCTCCGTTTTTTTCCCCTTGACCCTTATGTATGGTTTGGCAGCTGAAATCTAAGGATAGAGGGTTTTGAAGTTTGTTTTTTGCGTTAGCAGTACAGGGCTTAGTCTTAAGAAAGTTTTACTGCGTGAAGATTTTCACCACTCTTGGCCTTTTGACTTGCTTTATTGTATGCTATGGAAAGGAGGAATTCAGAAGTCGCGTAAGACTCGGGCCTCGTTGTGCGGCGGGTGGCTAACACGCGACTCTTGAGCCTTCTTGACAAGATTAGAGGCCTTAAGATCCGACAACGGCCACGGCAACGAGAAGGTCAAAAACGCAGTACTACGACATGAAATTGCCTGATTTCGTGCTTCATGAAGGACGTAAACTAGCAACTACGAAATGTTCTTTCACTTGCTGAACTTGGACAAAACTCTTAGGAATTCAACTCCAGGAGAGTTCGCATACATTTGGTAAAGTAAGCGAGTTGGAATAATCACGATAAAGATTAAAAGACCGCTAATTCACTTTTTTAAGCGACGCTCTCCCTGCCGTCGTCGTCCTCGCTTCTTAAGGTCCCTTATAATTACTCGTCTCTTAAGGCAAAGCTTTATGTTTGTTTATTACTATGCTTTTTTCGTAGTATATGTTGCCGACGAAGTTTTAACATACGAAGAAGTAGCGCTCTTACAGCCCGACCCGCAAAGAAAGCGCCCTGTGGTTCTTATAGGTATGTTGGCACAAACTACAAGTCTAAAACGCTCACCATTCTGCCTCAAAAATAATCGCCGTCGCTGGTTCATTTCTCCTGCTACGACGCTGTAACAGGCTACTTATTTCCCATGATTCATCGAACGTTTCTTACTCATTTACTTGATAAACTCTGACAAGAAGATAGTACAATTCTGTGGTCAAAATCAACTAAAATGCACCTTTTAATATTATGCATTTTACGACAAAATTCCCAAGATCTTAGTAATTTTGAGGTTTTGAACTTGCAAAGGATATTACGTAATTACTCCTTTCTAAAATAAATAAAACCGTTTCACGTTTGCTTAGAACTCGACTTAGCGTAAGTAAGTGATAAAACCATGAGCGAGATCTGATGATCATTCGAAACCCGCGTTGAGGTCGCTCTCTCACCGCTGGTTTGATATGTTTCAACTCCTATTAAACCAGGGTTGTAAATAGCTAACTGGTTTGCTTAAACCAGTTTATATTTTCTCTTTTAAGGTTTACCTGAGACAGTTGTGTAATTATGATTTGTTAACTTTCAGGACCTGACAAAGTTGGTAGGAAAGAGTTAAGACAAAGACTTATTTTGTATTCACAAGAACGATTCGCGGGAGTGGTTCCTCGTAAGTATCGTTTGATAACCTTCAGTGTAGTCAGTACATGTCTATTATGCTGTGAGTCGGTCAATGGATTTATCAGTCGATTACTCCATTGTTTTTACACGCTTTTTGTTTAACCTGGTAGTCAGTCAGGTAGTTTGGCAGTCAGATAAACGTTCAGACAGACTTAACGCAAAGCACTTTGATTAAGGTGAGAAAAGACTCGTCTATCCCTCTTTTCTTGATCCTAATGCTCCAACTTTTTGCGCGAAAATTTCAGGCCAGAATCGGCCTTGTTGGGTCATCCATGCTGATGTTACTTAGTAATGGTCCTGGTTCCTTATAAGTGTCGTTTGGTAACCTTCAGTTTAGTGAGTAGAGCTGTGAGTCAGTCGACTGATTGCGCTATTGTTTTACACTCGGTTTTTTTGGAGCCAGGTTTTTAGTCAGCCTCCAGACAGTCTGTCAGTCAGGCAGCTAGGCAGTCAACATTCAGACGGACAGAGACAATGAGTCGTACATCTGCTCAATACGTCATATTGTGTTTACCACAAACACACTTAACGGAAAGCACTTATATTAATTAAGGTAGGTGAGAAGAAGTCTTCTAAATCATTTTGTCTCCATCCCACTATTCCAAATGTGCCTGAAAACTTCTATCAGACGTAATCTAACCGTTGTTAGTAACGAATTACCAGAAGTTCGTTTCGAATTTCCCTCTAACCTGATCAGCCAATCGAACAATGGCTTTTTTTCGCAGGCCAATCATGGCGCGAACTCAAATTTTCGTACACAGTTGGGAGCCCAGAAAAAAAGATTTCTGCGCCGGCTTTCTATCCTGCCCGCAGGCTCTTTGCTCGCTGGCTAGTTAGCTCGCAGGCATTGGTGTATTTGCTTAGCGTTACTTTTTATCCGAAGGTTTATATATAACAGAGTCAACTTCAGCCTCTCATTTATCTTAAGGGCCAGTATACTAGGCGCACAAAGCTTCAAAACCTTCTGTGTTTCTCTTTTAGATACCAGCCGGCCGAAAAGGCCCGAAGAAGTGCATGAAAGAGATTACTACTTTGTACCGCTTCCCAGTTTTGAGGCCGATATTGTTTCGCACAAGTTTGTAGAGTACGGAGAGTTCGAGGGACATTATTACGGAACCGCTCTGGACTCCATAAGGAGAGTAGCCAATTCTGGAAAATATTGTATTTTAAACCTACATTGCGAGGTATGACACATCATTCTTGGTGCTGAAATAGCAAAAATTTTGCATGATTCCAGCCCTGAGCAGCAGTCGTTCCTCTCTAGAGAGCTCAAGGCGCGAAGAAACATGGGGCACGAGAAAGCGCGGGGTGCGAGAAATAGTAAGGAAGGATGAAGTGTGTAGCGTGGGGAACGAGAAAGTATGTGGCGCGAGAAAGCGTGACGCGCGAGACATCCTTGCTTTCTCGTGTCCCGTGCTTTCTCGCGCCTTACGGATATTTTTCATCGACTGGTTGGAAGGTATTTTTTTTCTTGGAAGCTAAGACGAAGGCCATCCGTTTTATCCTTCTCCAGTTTTACCCATCCGTGCTCCTCGTCGCTTTTGAGTACCTGTTTTCACTCCTTTTTTTCTGTTTTAATTAATCCTTTGCCTTTCAGTCAGTCATTTCCTCCCGGCATCCCGTGACCGATTTGGTATTTGCTGAATTAGCACTTTATTGCTTTTCTAGACCCTGTAACTCACAGCTCCTTACTTTTCCTAGGCGCTCAAGGTATTGAAAGCCTCTGATGTTAAACCTTACGTGGTTTTTATATCGCCGGCATCGTATGACAGAATCCTCACACTCCGAAGAGGGAAAGTCGATCCTTTCAATCCTAAACCGACCGGTCAAATGACGGTATGTTGTGCTGATTGTTTTGTCCATGCTTTGAGTTGTCCAATTCATAGTGTTCTCTTGTAATTTGGTGATATTACAAGCGAGTTGATTGACTGCCTGTCTGTTATTAATAACATAACAAGCACTTTGATTGACTGTGTACCGCTGCCGCCTGTGGGTTTTCAGGAGAGTTTGATCCTTCTTTGCGATTTTGTGTGTTAGTTGTTACAACAAGCGCTCTGATTGGCGGCGTATCCGTCCTTAATCATATAACAGGCGCCTTGATTGGCTACGCATGTGCTTTGCTTCAACGTCTCTAAACTGGTTTGTGCAGTATTGTAATCTCGAAAGAAGAATAGCGTATTAAAGAATATAATTTTCTGATTTTCAGGATGCAGAGCTGCGTGATATGGTAGACAAAGGACGAGAAATGGAAGAAACGTTCGGGCACTACTTCGAGAAAACGATCGTAAACACTGATCTGGAAAGAACGTTTGATGAACTTAGGCAAGTCATTGATAAACTTGATGTCGAGGCTCAATGGGTTCCAGCCTCCTGGGTAAACGAAAGCCGAGGCGGTTTGTAGTGAAACAAAGAAGTGGACACGAACGGCACGTCACCTCTGGTGAACGTTCGTCACACGAACAATCTGTACAAAGGCGTCAGTGGGAAGTCTTTTTGGACATCAAGAACTTATCTCAGTGGAAAAAGATGGAAGAAATTCAGGACAAGTAAGATTTTGCTATCCATTTAAATGAAAGAATCTTAAGTTATGTACAAAACTATTTTCAGTTACTATAAGATTACCAGCGCCGTTATTAACGATGTGAGCGTTTTAAGAGCTTAATTGCTTATATTTTGGACGAGCTAATTATCCTTTTTAAAAGATATCTAACGATCTTGTAATATAATCATAAAATTGTCAGTAATGTATGTAAATTTCGAATCGTTTTCTGCGTGAAAAGCAGAAAGTCTTGCCAAAACTTGTGATGGATGTCGATTTTGTTCAAAGTTGCTAGAGGTACGAACACCTTTTTCGATAGCTTAACAGGTAGTAAATAATAATATTTTACTTAATATTTCTTAGTATTAGCTGTTAAACCATCGAATGCGGATTTATTATTAGACTAACATTTCTTTGATTTAAGCACTTTCAGTTGAAAAGCTAAGGTGTAATTCGTTTCCTTCGCATTGCCCATAATACACTTGGTTTGCTCCCCCCCCCCCCCCTTAAATTTTGCCTAACCGTTTTTCTAACAATTTTTTGTTTTTAAGACCTTTCAGGTGAAAAGCTAAGGTTTAATTCCTTTCCTTCCCATTCCCCATATTCCCCTTGTTTTCCCCCCCCCCCCCCCCTTAAATTTTGCCTAACCGTGTTTTCCATTTCACCTGGGTATCACAGTCCAGTGGCTGATCCAGACCTTCAGATAAGGGGAGGGGGAGGGGGGAGGGGGCGGTCATCCAGACCCTGAGATAGGGGGTCCTGGTCTCAAAAAATTTTTCCGCTATTTGGGCCTCAGTTTGGTCTAAAAATAAGGGGGGACCCCGCCCCCCCGGGCCCCTTCCCTGGATCCGCCACTGCAGTCGCCCCAAGCAGGAGCTGATCAACTTGCTTCTGCCCTGGAGCCAAGAAAAATGTCATTCATCATGCAGATTTGACTATTTTACAGTTGTACTGTTATTACTGACCTTAGCTTTTAATGAATCTGAGGCAGCACGTGCTGTTAAAGCGTGATTTCCACAAGCAAAGCCAGTGGTTTGTATAAAATAAAAGTCACACTCAACCTCGCTATCACTTACAGGTTAGGCTACTAAACTGGTCTATTTTCTGCAATATATTGCACGCATAATGTCACAGACAATATCGTTATAGGCTGTTGCGAGGCAAACGTATATACCTTGTGTGAGAAGAGAGATAAATTTGATCTTTCTTGGATCTTAGGGTAAATTGGCTTATTCTTAATTCATTCATTTGAGAAATATATCCGTATTTCGTAATTTAAGATTTATTCAAAAGAAGTAGAAGATTTGTTATAAATAGAGCAACTGACGTAATGAACGATTCATTTTGCCAAGGAACGTTTAGTGTAGCCGTAATGCGAAATATTTTTGGGTTTTCCTCGTTAAATTTCTGTAATACAGTGCTCATGTTTTTCACATTGTAGCCTTAAATTGGTCTGGTTACTAGATATTTTACTACTGGTTATTGCCAATAAATTACCTTAATGTTTCCTTTATGTACATAAAACGTACCATTTATCTAATCAAAGACACCATAAACGCTTTATAAGTTGAAAAAAAGGCACTTGACGTTAGCGAGCTCTGGAGAACGTATAGAACCTCTAAGATACAGGGGAAAGCTTGACTCATATTTCAGCGGTTTCACTGAAGTGATTAGGTTATAGAGGGAAGAAGTCATCAGTTATAACACGTTGCCATGGTAGCTAAATTTCTGGACCTCAACAAACTGTGGTCCTGCAAATATGGCTGAAAAAAAAACTTAACTTAACTATACTCCTGTGTACTCAAGAACAAAACGGCAGCCCATACTTTTCTTCCGTCGTTCGACAATACAATTAACCGTCTCTGATTGTTGAGGTCCAGAAATTTTGCTACCATGGTAACGTGATGTCACACTTCGCATTATTATCTGTAATAATGCCACTAATCTTTATAGACTTAAAGACTGTTTACAGTCTCCCATTATTCGCGGAAAAAGGTGCGTGCCTTTACGTGAAGGTGATGTTACACGAGACGATTAGCAACGACGATTTTTATCGCAACATAGCGTTGCAATGTTGGAACAATGCTGTAATCCCTCGAAACAATGTGGCAACAATGTTGTGATGCTGTGCTGCGCTACAAATCGTCGTTGCGAATTGTCTCGTGTAATATCGCCTTTAGCCATGTTGGTTTAAAATGTACTATGGTGTAATCTGGGGAGGTGTAAGATGTGGCGAAAGGGGTGGGACGAGGTTCCCCGACACCCACACCGTCGGTACTACATTTGAAACTAAGATGGCCGCCCCTTGAAGTAGCATTTCGACTCCAACAATTTTAACAAGAAATGGGGGGAGGGGAGGGTAAGCAGCGTAAAAACTAAAGTTTCTCCGGCCAGCCATCCAGAAACCGCTCTATTTATCTTAAACAAGAACTATGTTCGCCATGATAGTTTTTTTAACGTCCAAAAGTCTTTTGTATCATTCAAAGATTAGTTATGCAAATATTACATTTATGTCTTGTAGGTTTTGTAAAAGATTGTAGTTATAATGAACAAAGTGAAGTCTATGTTTTTGAAACAGAGTTTTGTGCTAGTAAACGGCTTCACTATTACGCCAAGAAAACTATTGACTAGAAAATACAAAGAAAACAATTAACAGAAAAAACTGGTAAAGAATTTGTGCGATAAAGGAGGCACAATTTACCAAAACTCAATAAGGATTTTCGCAAGTAATCTTCCCATATTGTAAATTTTTAAAGAAGCTGTTAATAATTTCGAAGCAAATATTTTTATATACTTCATGAGCCCTAACTATTTAATTCCTTCATCATGTTCGTAGGGTAATTATTTAGGACAAGTAACTACAGTTAATTATCTCTCAGACTGACACCTTCAGGATCAGCCCGAATTTTAGGCTTAGGGAACTGCACGACAGGGGCAATTCTCGGACCCAGGTCCCATCTTTTCTTTTGATCACGTGGTCTTTGGAACGGTGGCTCTTGTGAGAACTAGAATGGGCAGAGGCCAACTCTGGGTTTCCGTATTATGAAGGTGTCCGTTTAATAGGGTGACCACTATGAGAGAGGTGGTTGTAATATAATGATATGATATGATCGACAATCTAAGGAAACAGATGTCCTCACTCGGTTCCTACCGCGTTTTGTCTTCCGAAGCTGCGACAGCTAGTCATGGACGCGGAAAAACACAACATGAAGTGAAATGAGCCCCGGTAAATTGCGAAATACCCCACCTTCGCTATATTAGAACTCTAACATAACTCCGTGGCTTTATGGACAAAATTGCAAATTTTGCACGACTCCATTGTCTGACAAATCCCAGAAGAGACTTGTGCACAAAGAAAACCAAACCAAATACAGAAATATGACAAGAAAGCCTCGGAGCCATGTTAGAATTGTAATATATCGAACGTGGGCTATTAGAAACGCTGGTCAACTGTAGGTGGCTATCTGTTTTCATACGTTATGTGTGCGAAAGCTCAAGTCCTTGCGTTCATAGAAGGTGAAGCCTGGGGTGTAGCTTAAACAGGGACGTCACCAAACAACTACCATGCGTAGCAGGCGCGGTTTTTTTTTTTTTTTTAGGGATAGGGAAGAAATCTCGAGAACGCGCGGACAACTAAATCCTTTTTCCAGGCTTTGCGCGGCAAAGAAAACCAGAGAACGCTTGGGCTTGGTGAACTAGCAACTCAACAGAATTTACTGAAACACTTACTATGTAGGCAGTGTATTTTATGGGTTCAAATAAAGGGTGACTGCAACTTTCTCCTTGTCTTTTTTTTCTCTAGTTTGTCCTTTTACTTTTTGTGTGAAACAGGTAAACATCCATCGATCAAGGGCAGGCCCATATAAGGGAAATTCTCGCTGACATTATTGTAAGAAAACAAAGAAGAAACCGTTTTGCTTTGTTGCTGTTTTTTGTCAGTTTGATGAGCTTTGGTGCCCTTGCTTTTCCTGATTAACTGGATTTACTATTTCTAAAATAAAAAGTGTTCAAAATTTTTCTGGTGAGGTCCTGTATTGATTTCGAGCGATGGTGGGCCTTTCTCATTTGAAAATCAGGAGCTGGGACCACTGAATAGATTATTTTTGTTCTACACGGCTTCCTAACACAGATTTTCCCGTCGTTGGCTTCTGCCATTTTGCATCCCTTGGTCATGCATCCTCGGACTTTCTCATATCGCGAGGGACATATTTGTCTCTTTAATCGATTCTGGCATGAGTAGTGTAATACGCAGGCGCCGGTTGGCAGCTAAGATCATATCTGAACACTGGACACTACACCCAAGTGGCCGTAATACTGAAGCCCTGGCCGAGATTATGATGCCCGCGCGAAGAATGTATCTCCAATTCCTAACAATTAGAGGTAAGAAATTTATTTCTCCCCCACCGGTTAAGAGGTCACAAGAATTAAGCATGTTATACTACTACAGGAGAAATTTCTGCAATTTGATTGGCTTAGAGCAGCGGTATTTCAACTTCAAGTACGTACATGTAATGAAAATAACAAAACCTTTGCGGGTAGTAGTATAAACAAATAATAGCACGATTTGTACGTAAAATTTGGCATAAATACCACTCGTGATATTTCAAAATTGTCCCAAATTACGTATAACAATCTCGAAATATCACTGCAAATCATGCTATTACCTATACTTATCACACCAGATGAACCCTCACTGTTCTTAACCTCCACGGGAATAGCAGAGGCCTGCAGTTGTCCTTAGTTTTCGGCAATCTGTTTTCCTCCCCCCGCCGAATACCAGGCAACAGAGGCCTCTGCTGACACGGCGGACGCCTGGAAACGAGGAAGACAATCTGTGATGCAAAGTTATCCCACAATGAAGATCATTTCCTTGTTTCTTTTTCTCCTTTTTTTTCTCTTTTTCTTTTCCTTATTTACGACCGGGACTTGTTTACAGGCTTATTGGAAAAAAATCTGAGTGATTTGATAACATTTAGTGCTCAATTCCTTCAAATTTGTTTTTGTCTTCGCATAATAAAACCATCATTATAAATGTCAACGAAGAATTGCATGACCGGAAATAACTTTCATGAAGGCCACGTGACTTAATATAAAAAGAAAATCCCGACGCATTGTTTAGAGTCACGGTATATTAAAAAAAAAAGTTTCACGCGACTAAACATGGCACAAACAGATTCTGATATTTTCCAAGCTTCGTGTCCGTGAAGCAACAAGTGGAGCAAACAGATTTTTATGTATTGATCGATTGGTTGTCAGAATGTATTGACAAATCAATCTCCGTTTGATCAACTGGTTATTGCACTCGACGTTGATGGGTACCCGATTAGTCGTGATGCGCTCGTCTGGACTCCTCTCTTCGAGGAAAGCGAGATTGTGTTTTGCACTGTTATTAGTTAATGTTCTTTTAATCGTCGGAATCTTTGTCTCCGCTTCGAGAAGACCAAGTGAATCAAACGTTTTTTCACCGCCTCCAAGTGTGGGATATACTCCAAAGGAGCCGAGTATT